GACAAAATTAAATTAAGTTCACGGAAGAAAGAAAAAGTAGGGAACCAATATTTTGGACCCAACAAAAACCCAACTATTGTTACTATTGGAGATTATGAAATACATTCACACTAAATGGAAAACAGCTTTTCTAAAATGTTACCCAACAAGTGAAGGGATAAATTTGCAGAAGCAGCAATTTTAATGTACCTTTCATATGTGATATTTGCAAGTAGTGTGATTTACAATCATGACAAACCAAAGTGCTTCAGAGGCATGGATTACTTTAGTGGGGACATAAAAGCTGGGAAAATAAAGTATCACAAAATGTATCTGTACAGTGGTGCCTCGCAAGATGAAAAGAATCCGTTCCGCGATTCTTTTTGTCTAGCGGTTTTTTCGTCTTGCGAAGCAACCCCATTGGCGGCTAAGCGGATTAGTGCTATTAGCGATTTAGCGCTATTAGCGGCTTAGCAGCTAAGCTGTTAAAAGCCTATTAACGGCTTAGCGGCTTTGAAAAAGGGGGAAAAAAGAAAAAAAATATGGCGAGACTCGCAAGACGTTTTCGTCTTGCGAAGCAAGCCCATAGGGAAATTCGTTTTGCAAAGCGCCTCCGCGACGGAAAACCCTTTTGTCTTGCGGGTTTTTCATCTTGCGAGGCATTCGTCTTGCGGGGCACCACTGTAGATGAGAGATTACTTTTCTGTCAAATATGCTCCTTGGGGTAAAAAGTATTAGTATTTATTAAGCATCAGTTTGTTATGTGTAATACAAAACTCAGCAGAAGATGACAGACTCAGAGGGGCTACACTTTAAGGCTTGATTAGGGACTACATTACAGTACAATAAAGTTGGAGATTGATAATTACTTAGGATGCAGGTTTGCAAAGGCAGCAGATTTTTTTAGGCAGTAGTTTAAAGAAGAGGATGGGAGATCAAACTCTACTGCTGATTGCTTGGGACTATCTTTTTTTGTAAATTAAACACCACCTGTCTCACTATCTGTATTACACTGCTTTATCCAAACAGAGTGAATCTGTCAAGTTTCTAAAACTGCAACCAAGAGGGTCCACCACATGATATTGGCTTATTTTCAACAGACAGCAACGGTGCCACCCGCACAATGGCAGTGGCTTAATGTAAATATTAAACACTATGAACTACAATTACCAAATAGGAAGGGCCCTGTTTGATATACTGGAGAGCCATTCCAAATCACAGCTAGATAGACCAACAAACTAATTTGGTATAAAGCAGCTTCCTATGCTCCTGTTTTGAGAGCTTCATGTAGCACCAAACTTATGGTCATAGTGCAGGCTGCCCAATGATGCTCAGTTTGCATTTGGCATCTGAGCAACAACTGTGCCTTCATAAGCAATTGCAGAGTTAGTACAAAAGGGCATCCCATCCCAACTTGCAGATCCCACGTGAATGCAGGCTGACTCCTCCCTCTGCTGGGCCTAGACAATGGGTCACATGCACTGGGACACACGGTACCAGTACAATGATTTCCTTTGCCTTAGGTTCTCCCACACTTAAAATTTTCTGCTGTCCCCGGAGACAGATTTTGTCCGGGGACAGATTGCTGAATCCAGGGACTGTCCCCGGGAACATCTGGTGACCCTACCCTACAAGAAAGTCTAGCAGCACCAACTACCAGGCTTCTACCTTAAGAACAACTTCTATTTAGGATGCAAATTGGCTTCAAATGTATTATAAACTTGAGCTTTGCAGAAATCCAAAGAAACACCCTGCTTTGCCATAGATATTCATCAGCTTCTGATAGTGACACAGATGCAGTTGCTGGGATGGGATTTTTTTTGGGGGGGGGAGGGTTGGGGTAAACTTTTTCAGAATCTGCAGGATCCTGTCCTCCTCACTTAGTTCCTCAGGCTTCCTCTTTACCACCTACTTCTCATCACTCCCTTTCTTCCACTCCTCCTCCCACAAACGGGCAATTGCAGGAAAATACCCAACACTTTGTGGCTTATTCCCCTTGCCTTGAATAAACTTATTCTGTCAATGCTGAATGGAGTCTTTGTCAAAGAAATCCAATTAGAAACTAAGAAATCAATCCAGCTTTTTGATAATTTGCACCATCTGCTCTTATTGTACTTGCTGCTGAAGTTTTTGTTGTTTTTCTACTGGGTTTGTTTACAGGTTATTGAAATTGCTTTATTGAACAGGCTTTATTGACGTGGTGGTTGTTGTTGTTTGTTTGTTTATGTGATGCCTCTTTGGCACCTGATGAAAACCTTTTAAAAACTATATTTTATAGTCTAGGACTTTCAGATTCAACCATAAGTGAGTCAATGTAAGAAGGGTTAGGACTAACCTGTGGTTGATTTTGCCCTAGTGACAAGACTTAGCATTTTGGCCATTTTTTAAATTTTCAAGCCTGAGGTATAAGGCATTTCCTATTTTGAGAGATTTGTCTGTATTTTTATGAGCTGATTATGCAAGATTTAAAAATATATGGAAACTGATCAAATTTAAACAAAAAAAATGTAGATAATTCTTACCTACAGACAGAAATTGTTTACTTAACAATGCAAGTGCTTCAAGAACACCATTATAAATCATGAAATCACTAGCAGGAAATCATAGGCTTTGTGAATACAAGAAGTCAAACCACTGTCCATATTTGCTTTTTAAAGGCAGGCTGGAATGGCAGAAATGAAAGCCCTATTCAAATGCACTAAAAGTGTGCTGGATCAATGTCTGCTTGGGAGTGTGCATGTGTGAATGCTGCCTTTCCCCAATGTGCTGATAGGTTCTTTATCCACAGAGCCAAATCCACAGGGATTCCCTGGGTTGGTTCTACACATGTTTAGGCAATATTGTTTTATTTATTCAAAATATTTTTATCTTGCCGTTCTGTCTACTGAAGGAATTTGAGGTGGTTCACAAAAAATAAAAGGTAACAAAACACACAAAACTAAATTAGCAGAGGCACAGCTCAAAAACAATAACCACAAAAGAAGATTGGGTCAGCCACTTGCTTAAAAGAGCAGTGCCTTGGCATCATGGGACCAAAAACAAGCACGGAGGGAACCAGGTGCAAAAACTTCTAGAGTTCCAGTGCTACTTTTGACAGGACTCTCAAGCCCAGCTTGAGTATAGGCCCAAACAATTAACTGCTGAGAGAAACATGTAGTCAATTAAAGCTGCCCCCCCCATTGCTGTTTTCCTACAAAATTAAAGTTTACCGTCATCAAATATGGACAATTTCCCAAGACTGATTAAAAAAACAACTGTTTGCAGATGGGCAACAACTTTTACAGATAGCAGAATAGTTGTACTATGATGTTAGTTCTGTGAAGTATATTTAAGATACATAAACCATTAGGGGGTATTCCTTTAACTTAGAAAACTAAAAGGATCGTATAAGTATTTTCAAATCACAAAGACCTATCAGTAACTGGTTAAGATTACAGATAGGTAGCCGTGTTGGTCTGCCATAGTCAAAACAAAAAAATTTCCTTCCAGTAGCACCTTAAAGACCAACTAAGTTAGTTCTTGGTATGAGCTTTCGTGTGCATGCACACATCTTCAGATACACACTGAAGAAGTATCTGAAGAAGTATGTATCTGAAGAAGTGTGCATGCACACGAAAGCTCATACCAAGAACTAACTTAGTTGGTCTTTAAGGTGCTACTGGAAGGAATTTTTTTTGTTTTGGTTAAGATTAGGCAGAGGCTGACTTAACAGGAAGGAAAGATGTATTCGCTTTACCTAGTTTATAACAGAAAAATATTTCCAGAGGCATCAAACCTAGCTTTCTCAATCTTCATCAGGTGCCCTTCAAACATTTTGACCTATAACTTTATCGGCCCCAGTCAGCATGGCCAATGACTGGGGATAATGGGAGTTGTAGTCCAGAACATCTGGAGGGCACCTTGTTGGCTAACTGACTTACATATTCCATTTCAGACCACAACATTTCATGCTCATATGAAACTCAGTCATTCCAGTACACTTTCTTTTTCTTATAAATTTATCCCCAGAGGTGAATTAGAGGTACAGTAACAAGATATGTGGAGCAATTCCACAGAAAAATGTTAAGAAACTATCCTTCCATTCAGGGAAGAGCCCCTTCTGTGAGGGAAGGGATTGATAATCTAGTGTAGAGTTTCTGCAAAGGAAAGGTAGAGGGAGGTGATTTTGATGATTCTGCTCCACTTCTCTGCAGTACCTTCCCATGGTTCAGGAGGTTCAACAATGCTCTGGAACACTTTTTTGGGGTACTAAAAATAACTTGAGTTGTGCCAACCAATTCTTACTCCAGAGGATATTTGCCACAGAATAAAATAGGTTCATGAAATCAAACATTTAATATAGGAAAGCTTTAACTCTCCTGTATAGCCAAGCTGGAAAAAGGTTACATAAATGTTAAAATGACAACACTGAAGTATCAAATGGATAATGGACTTTTATTGACCAACATTCAGATTGTAATACTATTTTTATCCACACACACCCACGTCAAACGGTCTTGATACATGATCCAAGCACTAAATACGAATGTATTTTTCATATTTCTCTGAAATACTCTATTTATTAAGGGAATGGGAGATTGTCATGGTTAAGAATATGATGGCAAGGAAAGCTCTAGAAATGGATAACAGAATAATAGAACATTCTACCTATATTTATAATGTGTAGCTGCTATAAGGTGTAAAAACTGCTTGCAAAGTGTATACAAAGAAGCCCTGGTTGACAGAGTCAAGTTCTTTGATAATCAGTAACTCCAGAAGAGGATTTTTTTTAAAAAAAAAATCAACAACAATTATTTCCCCATTCCCCTTTAAATTATAACAATTGAAGGGACACAGTTGTACAAATCAAATTTTAAAATGATTCTGATTGAACTCGTCATGTCATCTAAGTAGCCATAGCATTACCATACAGAAAGGTAGAATGGGTTTGTTTGTTTGTAGGAAACCAAAGGGCTTCTATTAAATAATAAGAGCAAAGTGGGGGCTTAAAGTTCCAACCCAGTATGCTATGCACTACTTACCTTCAAAAGTCAAATAAAACTTTCCTCTGTCAAACCAGACGAGGGAAGGCTGTTCATTCTCTGTATGGCCAGGAGTTGAAGCGGGATGGGAAAGGTTAAGGAGAAGGGAGAGAGAAGGACATAAGTGTAAGTCACAGAAGCAGGTTATTAATCTCACTACAGGGGAGGAAGAGGCGCTGTGAGCTGTTAACGTGCAAGGGGGAGTAGAAGGGAGTTTAAAACAATTTTCTTGTTTTATTTTGGGAAACAGAAAGCAAAAAAAAAAAAAAGTAAAAAAATGGCAAGCTATGGAATCCTAAATGGAGATAATTTTTGCCCACTGGATTGCTGCCTACGTGTTTGTGCGTGGAGGGTGTGAGAAGTGTTCTGTTGCTGCAACAGAATAGTAGTATGTTGGGGTTTTTTTGCTGTACTAGCTTTGGGTGGAATTTGTCACACAAGGCCTTGTCTCCATTTTAAAGATGCTGCTGTAATGTTGGAAGATGCCTCTGGGTATGAAAACAACATCTGAAAATGTAGCACTAAACTTTATTACATGAACCTGTCTTGAAGAAAAAGGCTGGTAAGGGGAAAACATGGCAATGATTCTGGCACTCACATGCTCCTGAGATAAGCATGCATTATAATTCTGAAAGTATGTTGCATGGATCTTCTGTATGGGTGGGCTTCCAAAGGCGGCATTAATCTCTGGTTTGACAGTTTCCCCTAAAGGTGCTAAATTTGGTTTAACTAACTACTGGGCAGGATTTCTGGAATGTTGGTTAAGTGCATGATTTTATTGAACCATATTATTTGATAAAATTCCAAACTGAACCAATAAATTAACATTTAAAGCTACCCTTCTCTCTCTCTCCTAGTCAAAAATTACCAGTTACTTTGACTCACAATATTTTAAAGAGTCCAGGGTACATGTAAAACAAACTAAAAACACCTAAGGAAATACTACTGCTGAAGCTAAGCACATCTGGCGTTGTAAGCTTCCTTGGAAGCCTAGTCCTGTAAAACGAAGGAAGAGCTGGGTAGACAGAATATACATCTGGGAAAGACCTGCTCTTGAGTAGTAGCAGTATACCTTACATAAAAAGAACCACAAGTCAAAAATCTATCACTTCTCCAAAACTCTTGCCATTGGGAAACTGGCATGCTATATGCTGCATTTCTGAGTTTGGCATGAGTTCCTCTCTTTTACATATAAGTATATATTTGTATGCACTTGACACTCATGGTGGTGAGGGTGGCAGTGAAGGAAGCATTCAGATGACAATGGCTAGGATTTAAAATCCAGATTTCTTGAAACCACTCTGCTAGTACAGTACCTGCAGGAGTTTCACAATGCCTTTCAAACGTGAGCAGTTTGTCAACATAAGCATCATCTTCTGAAACCCATGAGCAAAAGAAATGTAAAAGAAAAACAATGAAAACACAAATTCCAAATGAAAATCAAGTAGCTGTTTATCAACCAAACCACAAACATTACAATGAAAAAAAGATCATAGACATAGAAATGGTGGACACATCTCTTTTTATTATCAAAATCATATGCAACAACCACCACAAGAACCCAAAAACAAATACAAAAAAAGACAAACAGTAAATGAAATAATTTTGTGTCATATTTCCTCAGACAAACTCTCCATATATGGGATAACCTTTAGAGACTGGAAGAGTTACACACAGGGAAGCCACAAAGGCTGAGAAATTGTGCTTCTTATGAGCTACTTAGGCCAAAATCGTAGGGACACTTACTGGGAGTAAGTCATATTGAACTCAATAAAGCTTACTTCTAAGTAGATGTGTATCATAATCTTACTCTTCATGTAGAATTTTATAATGAGTGTCCAAACCCTTCCATGTCTTAAATCAGGGGTAGTCAGTTTAGGAGTGCTGAAGAAACTCTACCTGCTGAAGTGTGACTGTAGCCCAGGGATGGAGGACCTGTGTTCTCTGGATGTTGCTGGACTACAACTTCCACCATTTCTGACTGTTGACCATGCTGGTTAGGGCTGATGGTAGCTGGAGTCCAGCAACATCTGGAGGGCACCATGTTGACTACTCTTGTCTTAGATCTATAGAATTTAAAAGGGGTTACTGCAACAAGGAAAAGTTCCCCACACTCAAATCATACCTGGCAAAGATTCATTTACTCTTGCTAAAATCCTCCAAAAAAGGCAATCGTATTCCACTGTCCAAGCATTCCTACAATCAAGAGGTATTTTCCAATGCTGAACTCAAAAGGCGTTTGCTATAACTGGGACCCATTGCTTCTTGCTAATGGCCTCCCATTATTATTTTTTACTCTGCTAACCCATTCAAGCCTAATAGTATGACTGTAACCCATAATCATTGTTCTCTGAAACAGGGAAAAATACAAAGGCCAGATCTTTAGCACAATTTTTGAATCCTATGGTTTAGGATACAAACCAAGGACTCAAACTAGCCCTGGCTCAATAGGTCTGAAATTGCATTAGAACTTGAGCTCTGTGTGCCCCACAGGAATTGCTATTCCCTCTCCACGGTAAACGCCTGCCATGCTTTTGCCTTGAGCTGGAAGCTTTTTACATGCCAAGCCATTCAGCATATTAAGCATAATTTACTGCATTAGTTGTCATGGGCCACAAGAGCAGATTGGCACAATCCAGTCTCATCCAACACATGATCTGACAATACCACTTGCCTATTTGGGACAGGTGGAGCTTTCTCTGTTGCCAATAAACATGCATTCCTATTTTCAAGGAGTAGGTGAAAAAATTCTCATTATTTTGTTCCAGAAGCCAATAAATTCTAGAAGCTACCTATATACGTATTCTCACATTATGGAAAACTATAGGGAGATTTTTAAAATTAAGGTACCTGTGGGGAATACGGTCCTTCCCTCCGTCCCTACTCAGGGAGAGCATTGAGGAGAACACAGAATTTGAGCATTTAACAAAGATTTCCTTTTATTTTACTACAGTGAATACAATTCTCCCCACAGAGACACAGACACCCAACAATATCAAAGGACAAAACAAGTTGATCTAATATTAATGTAAAATTGTGCCTGTGTTTAACACATTCAAGAAAACACTCCAGAAATAGTTCGTCTTGTCTAAGAGTGTGACTATTTCCTTGGCTATCTCTAGAAGTGAATCCTAATTTCAGATTTCTAAAAAAAAGGGATGCATAAACCAAGCAGCCAAGCAGCCCCTTTTTATAAGCTGTGAAAGTGAACAGGCTTGCACATAGCATTAAACCAAACCATGGCTTAGCATGAATGTGTGAGCTCCCAGAAAGGAGCTTGCAGCTGCTTTGCTGCTCCCTGGACTTTTTTGCTAATGTGCCATGCTGAGCTAAACCAAGTTTAAGCTTAGCATGTCTTCTGCACCTGGACTTAAGATCAGGCTGTCTCCGGACCAGCTATGAGCTGTAACCAAGGGTTAGTTGTGGTTAGTCTAGGGACCATAACCATGACGCCCAGGTTTGAACAATGTGCTAAGCTTTGGCTTAGATCAGGGTTACGTGGGAGCAAAAAGAACTCGGGGACACCAAAGCAGCCGCAAGCTCCTCTCTGGGAACCCATGTACTCACACTAAGCCTTGGTTTAGCTTAGCCTGACAAGCAAATCAGGCCAGTCAGTGGGAAGTCTAACTATAGTGCTCATGTCAAGAACTTCATATTGCCAGCATAAAGAATGCTCAGGCTAGTCACTATGAACAAATACACAATAACTAAAAATAGCTGGGATGTACAAATACAAACCAGGAACTCCTTATTAGCCATTTCAGCTGTTTTCTCAATCGTTTTGTATTAAAGCTTCTCTTTACCCCAACAAGGGTGGTGAAATCTCCAAGGCCATCTGTAAAAAAGGCCACTTAGATAATTTTAATAAAATGCCTGATTACTCAATCAACTTCAGTGTAACAGCAATACAGCAATTCCTCTAAAAATCATATATGGTGAATGAATCATGTTCATGTCAAGACTATGAATCAAAGGCCTACTCGTTTTCTTGAATGGTTAGTCAAAAGCATGTGGCCTTCAAAGCTTGTAATGTTTTAAGTGTGCTACCACCTAAAACCTGGACTATGTACTACCCTATCACAACTGCACATTCACATTGTTTCTAAAGTTTAGGTTAAATATAAGGCTTTGGGGGCAATCTATAGCACTTTTAAACGGTTGTGTTTGAAAGAGTGTCCTTGGCTATTGATTAACTGGTTCCTTCCATCCACTGAAAAAAAATATTAAAGAATATCTGCTGAAGCTCATAAGCACAGGCTTTTAGAAAGATTATATAAAGCCTTTCTTTTCAGGCAAACCTTGTTTGATACTGATTTGATGGCTATTTTAATGGTTGTTTATATTTGAACTGTCATCAGATTTTTCCAATATTGCATTTACAAGTTGGATGTACTGATAGCTTTAGAAAAGTCATGTAACTTTAGGCATAATATAAATATTATGTTTTAAAATAAATAAATGTTCTGACATTTTTTGTAGTTACCTCATCTATGAATATCAATCTGAAGGCTATCTAGATTTGTGGAATCATGTTGAATAACAACAGAATAATCCTGACTCTAATTCACTTGACTTTCACAATTGTTATCCTAAAATCAAACAGAAACCAGCAATGGTCTCTATGTATCATTGGTTATTTCTTTTAAAAGCAACAAAATATATCTAGAGGAACTTTACTTCCATTAATGAAAATGTCCATAGTGACAGAGTCATCATGTTCATGCTTATATAGGGGGGAAATTATTATTTCAACAGAAAATTGTGTTTTCCTCCCCATCACCTGTTTTACCTGCACAAAACCTAGGCTAACGTTTCAACTTAAAAGTAGCCCTTTTCACAAATCAGTTGGGCTTGATTCCATTGGAACCTTATGTTCTGAAACGCAGTTACTGATAAGAACACACAACAGTGTGTCATAAAAACTACTGATCAACATCAGTTTCAGACAATTTACACCACCCCATGGAACATAATACTTCACATACAAGGAGTTGAGCCACTGATGACACAGCCTCTTAGTTGATAATACGATATTGTTAGTTAGGTATTTGAAATGCTATTCAGTACTTTGACTGATATGCATTTATATCACCCTGGTCATTGCACTGTCCAACAGCAAGCAGAAACAAAGGACAGAGGTACAAAAAGGGAAACATGAAGTCTGAAAATTGCATTAAGCACTCTCCCCACACACTTCCATTTCACACACAATAGGCAGAAAGAAACAAGAGTGAACGGTTTTTCCAAAAGACAAACTAAAGCTGAAAGCACTTCAAACCAGGTTCAGCATTTAACAAATTATCACTGGAGGCTTGAATATATGCCCCAGTTGACAGCATCTTCATTTTCTAATAAGCAAAACAAGTATCTGTGAATTACTATGACTGAGTGAAGACTAAACACCACTAGTATGGGAAGTCAGTAGTATGCTCAATGGCTATTACTCAAATGAAGACAAAACATATCCATTTCAGCTCATTCAGATTTTTGATTTTTTTTCCCTTTCTTGGAATATCCAATTTGTTGCCATTCTGAGTTCATTCAGAATAGTCAGAAAGACAATTTGAACAGCAGCTCAAGTGCCCGTTCTCGTCTACACAGATTAGAAAATGCTTGATAAAAAAATTGAGGTTAAGAGGCACACAGCAGGAAAGTTTAGACTAATAGCAGAACGGGTCCAAAGGGATGTAAAAGAAGGGAAAACCAATAAAAGAAAACAACCTGGCATACAATGAGAACTGAAGGTGACAGAGATGGTCTGTAGAAGAGCAGAAGCGTTGATGAAAAGAGACGCAGGTCAAAAAGGAAAACCAGGAGTCTGCAGCACAAAAGAACTATATCAGAGAGAAGAAGGTGGTATTAAGGTGTAAAGAAGATGAAGAGTATTGTAAATGAAATAAAGAATGACAAAGAGAATTCAAATATATGTTTGTCTGAGAATGAAGTGGAGCAGGGAGCAGAAAGGAAGATGAGAGAATGAAGCAAAAAATGAAGAGCATCAACATCCAGGCATTGCCAGCCACAAAACATTTCTCACTTTTGACAAGTGTAATCTAACCTCAGCTTAAGAAGAAAAAAACATGTTTTCAGTACAACTTTCCATATTTTCAAATTTCTAAGAAACTGGATTTGAAAGTTTAGAACTTTTTGAAATTTTTCATGCAATCCAAGAAGCAAATACAATTGGTTTGTAACATTACTTTTTAATAATATCTGGTTCTAGAGTATACTTTCTGCTCCTGGTATCCTTTCCTATTTCTCCATACTAAGATTAACTTTGTGTTAAACTTTATTCATTTTTATTGCATTTATCTAGTTTTGCTACAGCTAACTAATCTAACAATGATTTATATGATTGCCAAATTGCGAGACTAATTCGTCCTGCTTTGCAGCCACAGGAGTGACACAGTACTGTAAAACATTTTGTATCTATAGTGGTCAGAATTCAAAGGGAAGCATGACTGTTCAACATCTCCACTGGCTTCTAAGAGACTTCCAGGAAATGCTGCATTGAATCCTAAACTACTGTTAGAGTTTCCCTCCTCCAATTCAAAAAGCAGTTTGGTTTGTAGGCAGAATAACTTTCAGCATAGAAAACCTGCCAGAAGAGCTCCATTCTTTCCACTTTCCTGATCTGCCCTTGGAAAGTCTCCTACGCCCAATGAAAACTGCATCTTGATCTTAGCGGAATTTAGGAAATTATTGGGGGAAGGCACAGTTTAGGGAATAAAGGGAGCCCATGCATCCCTTCAGGTCCCTGCTATTTTATACACAAATATACATTGCAGTTGCAGCAGTCTACAGTTAATCAAGAGTGCAATTCTCATTTACATTAAAAAGTGCTTTAACATAACATGACCATGACAACGAAAACAAAGGAAAATATAAACCAAATAAAGGGTTTCAGAAAGTAAAATATTCAAGCCATTCCACTCATGGAAACTATTCTTCAAACAAAGAAAAGCTTTTCGTTACCAATTGTTGGAGTAGTAGCTGCACTCAAGGAATTGGTGGACGATATGGAAGAGGTGCTTTCAGCACGTGCTAAAGGTGCTATCGGAGGAGGGCTGGATGAGTGAACCGGAGGGCTAAAAGGTCTGGACTGTAGACAAACACAAACAAGATTAAAGATACACACAGTGCATTTCTGAACATGAACTCAAGCAAGAATATTCATAACTGCACACACTATCTTCTAAGGCCCCTGGAACACCCAGAATTAATCCATTCACACTGAGTGGATTTACAGATCTATTGATTTCTCAGCTCCTGATTATTGATTACTAGCCCAATTGTGTAGCCAAAGGTTTTACTGAGTTCTCTAATGCACGTGATCTATATTTGTAGTGCAGATGAGAAACATGCTGCAGAATGTAACGTTTGGGGGATGCAAGTGAAACTGCAAACTATGGTGCACAAAAAACAGTTCACAGGTGCAAAATTAAGCAATGGTCCAAAATAAAACCACTGGGTTGTTTCACTATTGGAATCCACAACGATGGATTACTTTTCATGAAGAGTTTTTCCAAACATTACGCTTTTTCTTATATAGCAAGGATGGCTACATAGGAGCAGATATGAAAAGAGCATGTGGATAGTCAATGATGGTAATGGTAAATGAGTTTCTTTCACTTTGTGAATGTGTACTTGGAATCCATGGTTGGCTGTGACTTCCCAAGATTGTGTTTATACATAGTGGAAAGTATATGCACATCTGTCACATGACAGGAACAAATATGTACACTTTTTCTGACAAAGAAGTGCTTTTCATGTCAGAATAGTAAAAACTGAAGCATCCCTTTGGTGTGCTTGTGTATGTACAAGTCCAAGTGTTTCAGAAAATGTGAAAAGATACATGTCATCACTAGTGTCAGACAATTTCAATTTAACTGGGGCATAGCAGCTTTCTTGACCTTTCTTGACATTTTAGAGATGTTCTTGCTAAAGCAAATGCATATTCCTACACAGGTGTAATAATTCTGACTTGTTTCTGGCATGACCAACAAAACCGACAAAACTAGCCTGCAATTTCAAATGCGGACTTTCCATAACAATCTGCCTATTTACCGTCATCAACAGAGATTCTTCTCTGTATGGTTTCAAATAATGGAGGAAATCAGACACTAGGTTAGGGACACGGCAGAAGTCATTTGTTTATTAAGAATTCTTTGTTCATCTCTATTTGTCTGTACCACAGAGAGAGTTATGTTGTCTCAATTTAATTAGTAATTTTGAAGAAGCTAAACCTACCACATCAACTCCAGGCTTCCCGGGAGGTAATTTTGGACGAGATGGGGGTCTAGGTGGAGGAGGCGGGGGAGTAGGGCTGCTGCAGGATGCCAACGGGGTTGCAGGTCGAGCAGGAGATGATGAACCTGAAATAAATGCACACTATAAATATGGTGTTGAGCTGTCCTTACTGCAATTCTTACCCACCTTTATCAAAAACCCCAACACAGAGCAGACCATCAAGCAAACAGTTGCCCAAACAGTTTTTGACTTAGGCTGGCAGCTATTGCATAACAAGACAATTCATATGTGTAGATGGGAATTCGATAAGATCAGAAAGTTGCTAAGTCACAATAAAAACAGGAAAGCTTATTTTCCTGCTATAATGCCAATGGAAGTTTCACATGCTCTTGGCAATGGCAATATTGTGACTACAGTTAACACACTGCTCCTACATAAACTTCTTTAACTTAAATGAGGAAGCAGCACTTGGAGAAGTGAACCCACTTTAGATGAAAAAGTGATGTCTAAAAATACCAAAATATTGAAGTTTTTTGGGGTTTTCCTGAAACTTACCCATTCCTTATTATGCTCTTGCAATAAAAGCATAATGTGTTCTTGTTATGCAAATGTAAGTGGTGCTGCAACAGAACGCAATGATGTAACAATGGAATACCCATTTATTCTATGGTGTACAAAGAGACAAGCCTTGCACAATTATTTTCATGTGATTGTAACTGTAAGATGCTAGCAAATAAGAGAATAGCTAAGAACACTAGAATGGTGAAAAGACTGATGTTACAACGACTTGGAATAAAATGCAGATATTTAAGAAATTGAAAAATAATCTCTCTTCTAAAGTGTATAATGGGTTTTTCATATCATCATTGATGACTATTGAACAAAAAAGGAGGTTAAACTACAAAAGGGAAGATTATTTAAATGGCAGTTTAATAGTTATTGATACGTATCAAAACACAGTCCAGCAATTCCATAGCAACTTATATAATTTACTATGCCAAAATAGGATAAATGTTTTCTAAACTTAAGAGTAGGAGATAACAATAGAAAATGACTGAATAAGAGCCCAGGTTACCTTCAGTGGCATCTAAGCTACAACAGTGCTGCTCCTTTGCACCTACTTGGAAACATCAAAAGTCTGCTGTCACAGGAGGAATTCCTGCTGTGTCTTCTTCCCATTCTAGCATTATTCTTCCTGGAAGTTGGAATAATAGTAGCATGGGAAGGACTCACAGCACGGACTCCTTGTACATACTGTGAACATATGACAGATGTTACTGAGTGACACAGGAAGGAGCTATGCTGCAGTGGCTCTCATGCTGCTAAAGGTAGCAAACCCCCTCCCCGTTAACACCCCTTCTTTATTGGGCCATTCTGGTGTGTGACATTTTGTACATGTCCCTCCTTCCTCCCAAGGTTAAAATGGCAGGTATTTGTGAACTGTAAAAGGCAAAGCCGTATTCCAAATAGAAAAAGGAAGGGGAATATATTCCACATTCAACAGACCACCAATTCCTAAGTCAGTCAGTCCTTTAAAAGTGAAACAAGATATTTTACATCCAAGTTGTGTATGGGTTGGTTTTATCATATCAGCATTACAGTGTTGATCGTAAGCAGTGACTGCATTACATGCTTCATGCAGTCAATGGAACACGCACACAAAACACACAGCTATCAGAAGATGATTGATGGAGCTTTAAAAATATAAGGCTAGATGATTATGTAATGATGCTGCATTTGCTAAGCATGCCCAGAACGCTTCCTTGCTTAAGGTAAATTCTTGGAAAAGCCTTGGTCGTTTAAAATATTTTGTATTTATTGGTGTGTGTAAAACTCCATAGTGCCAAGTACCAAGTTCTGTGCACTCAAACCACTATTTCCCTTCCTCATTAAAACAACATAAAACCCCAATTATGCAAAACATGCACTACACATATATTAATCCCAGATTACTGAAAAACAAATTATGGCAGCGTGTGTGATCCAGGTCTCATAGAGCTACCAGATTTGTGTCCGATGAAACTTCAGTGAAACAGATGGAAGCTTTGTAAGAACCCATCTGTCACCTCAGTGATCAACTAAAAGAGGACCTCTTACTACAGGAACAATATTAGAGTTTTACATCTAGATGTTAAAAAATGAAACCTTTACAACACCTTGTAACAAAATCAGCAGATTATATATTCTCAGATAGAAATCACTATAGTTAAAACAAATATGATTTCATTATATTGCTGCAATTGCAGCTACGCTAAAAGTAATCTTCTTCCATTTCAGCATCAGACCTAGGTAGGTTTCAATGTTTCTACATCCATGGCATTTCATAGCAAGAATAAATTCAATTAAAATTCATTTAGTTTGCTAATCTTGAATCTCTTAGCCATGGAAAAGACTCTGCTTTGAAACTAAAGTCTAATCAAGTAGTATTTTTGGTGATAATTAAAACCTTTCTTATGAGTTATTAAGTGAATCTGATCAGCTTCCTGTTGGAGCTCTGCTAAAGAGTTAAGAAAAAAAGTTGCATAAATCTTCATACTTGCCCAGTATTGGGTCTCATTATTCTTAGCGGGTGTTGCATCTGCTTAAAATATGCAGAATATTAAAGACAGCTGTCCACACTTGGAAATAATCTTCCATATACAGACCAGCTCTAGTGAGAGGACACACAGAGAAAGCTCTCCCACTTTCAGCAACTTGTTTGAGTGCCTATCTTAAGAAGTATGCACCCACTGAAACTCCTCCAAACCAGAACTACATCATGTAGGTTTTTAAGTTAGGTAGGGAATGAGCCCTGGGAAAGAAATGGTGCATTTATGCATGCATGCCTAGATCATTCTAGGTATCCTTTTCTCCTTAAGTGGATTTATGAAAAGTTCTCTGCCTAAGGACTACCAAATTACCTCTGCTGCCCCCAGTGGCTCTCAGAGAGCTGCATGCACAGTAGACAATGCAAAGACTCTCTTTCACACTTGCATATCTTGCAACCCAAGGTTGTCATGAAACAATTACTGCTGAATTTTTTCTGCTAATTCATCACCCACACACACATTTAAAGCCGAGTTACTTATTATGCAAGTCTATTCATATCTCCCCAGAAGTAAATCACCTCAAGTACAATGGCATTTACTTTCAGGTAAGTTTGTATAGGACTGCAGCCCTAAGGTGTGTGGGAGGGTGTGCAGCATGTTTGCTAGATAGTCACAGACGGTGGATTCCATGATGTCATCGCCACTAAACCTTTGTGGTAGGAAGGGGAAAAATAGAACCCTTAACCTCTACTTCTTCCTGCAACTATGAAATCTTTTTTCCTACCTGCAATGGGGGAAGACATAACACCCATAACAAACTATAGTTCCCAGGATTCTTTGGAGGAATCCATGTGCCTTGAATCTGCATTAATTGTATTGTGTGGATACGACCTTTACAAAACACTGAATCTGCTGTTGAGATGCTTTAACATTTATTTGATGGAAAATTCCAGATTAACTTTATGGTATTTAATCTGTGGCGAAGAACAGGAGAAGAGCCTGGTGGATCAGGCCAATGGCCCATCTAGTCCAGTCCTAAACCCAGGACCTGAGCGCATCAGCACTCTTCTGACTTGTGTTCCTAAACAACTAGTTTTCAGATGCATCCTGCCTCCAACAGTGGAGGCCGAATATAGATATCAGGGCCAGTAGCTGTAGATAGCTCCATGAATTGGCAGAATAAATGTTTGCTAGGCAAGCACGAGATCTTTCCTAGTTGTGGTACAGTATTTCCATCATATTGTTCATAGATTGCACCCAGCTCTAAATTGGAAGGGTAAGAAGAAAGCCTATTAAAAGCTTCACTGGTTTTCTGAGGAAGGTCAAGAAGATTCTGAAGTTCCTTAGCAAAAGGAGTATCTTTGATCATCACTTCCTCTTGGAGAAAAACGAGGAGCTGCCCTTTCCTTGACGGGCAGAAGCTAAGCATGGTTGTACAATGGGAGAAGACAGAGTTTTAACTAGTTGCTTTGTAGCTTAGGAAGTTTTATAAATTCACCTTAAGCTCTTAAGGCAATAGCTTTTCCAACTATGTCTGGTATTAAAGACATAACGCTCTCCTGTAAACACCAGACATTCAGCAATGGCAGGGAAAGAACACACAGTATCAAGGGTTCAAGGTTAAATTGGACCACGAGAGCACAGAATAAAAAGAAAATAAAGAAGCCACGGGGCACAGTACAATCAAACAATGACTGATGCTTAAAAGCCAACCAACTAAGAGTAGCTAAAAAGGTTTTGTGTTTACACGGCAGCATTCATGGCCACATTGAAGCACACTCAAAGCTGTTTAGACATACCACTGGTGCTTCCTGTGCCACCGCCAGAGCTGGGTCCGGGTGATGACACCACTGTTCTGTAGGTAGGCGGTGGAGGGGGAGGTGGCGTTGCTCTCTGTCCCACCCCAAAATCTTTAGGAGATGCTGCTGGTGCTAAGTTATCATCTTTAACGTGGGTCTGCTCAGAAACTTTCTTCTGAACCTCTTCTAAATTGAGTGGAGATGGAACACTGCGAGAGGTTTCAGCCTCTGGAGGCTCATCTGGGGTTTCTGATGCCACAGGTGGGGACACCACCTTCTCCCGTGAAGTCACCTCTGGAGTTACGTTTTCCGGGGACTGATCAGAAAAACTGATCCACTTATCCTCCGCGTCAGCAGCAACAGACTTGGGGGATAATACTGGGCCAAAAATGGTATCCAAGTCATTGATTGATGGTAGTTTGTCACTTTTGACCTCTGTTGCTGTCTGGTCATTTCCTGTGGTCAAAGTAGTTGATTTTAAACTTTAACATCAACTTGTACAGCAGCTAAGTTGTACTAATGTTCTACGTAAGTATGGGGCTTTTAAAATCAGCTACATTCTAGCACAGACATTTTCATAATGCATTTTAAGGTGCTACTAGGAACATAATTCATGTGCACAAATATCTACATAATAGGGTGTGATATATAAATACACAAACACACACACACAAATATTAAGGTGCGTTCCATGTTGACCTGCATGTAAATATGCTGTCTACTACGTATCTCGTTCATACCAATATACCCAAATGGAGCTACTGCTATCTAGGAAAACTGCTTGCTAGGGAAAAGCCAACAGAGTGCCTTTATTAGTAACAAAATGGTAAAGTACATAATTTGAAATTCAAGCATGATGACGTGCATGTAGATAAGTATATTTGTGCTGTGCAGTATACACTGTGGGATTATTTTAGCATGACCAATGAGAATATCAAAGGGCTGATGATCAACGGGCTCTATTCTTGAGTTGAACAATCATTATTATCTGTAATTTCTGGGCAAATGGAGTGCCTTCTTAATGGAAAGGAAACCGATTTGGCATTTTCCCCTCTCCTCCATGGCTGGAAGGCAATTTGTAGACACACAAAAAAGCTATATGAAGGATATATAAAGAGTGTATTATAAGCTCTGTTGCATTTTGGAGCATCTGAAAATTACCACTCTTGTTCTAAAAGCACTAGGTATGATCTCGAAACTTCCACTTCTCTTCTATGCTTAAAGTACGCATTCTGTCCTGTGATTAGGTGCTCACTGGATCCTATTAAAAAAAAGTTAAGTGAACTAAAGGCCCACTGAAGTCAGCAGGCATTTCAGAATGATTTTTTTCACAGTTATGCCATTCTAACCCCATACTATGCACACATAATGAGAATGCTTGTGTGAACATAGAGATGCATTTTCCTCATAGAATATCCATTCTTTCCATTGTCCTAGAACCACTGAATGAGCAGGTTGTCATGTCTATGCATATGACTGTCCAGTCATCTCTTTGGTCCACAAATGCTGCATGCTGCTTTGATTCTGCAAAACTGTATGTTGAACCTTTACCTGTAAATTCAATCTAAAAGGAGTATGGGAAAATTACATTTCATGTCATATTGTCATGTAGAAAACTTTATTTTACCAATTAATGTAAGGTTTGCTGGTAGGGCAAAAATCCTATTTTCTTTTTGGCTCTGTTCGTGATTCACATAAAATGCACAGTAAGTTAACCTGGGGAATAAATGATCACACATGGATGTGCATTTCATTTGCGTTATATTCACCCAGCATAGATACAGGGTTCGAAGTTGGGAATTGCAGTGTTTGTATGAATAAAACAGCAATGAACAGAGGACACAATTTGTAATTCAAAAGTTATAGACAGTTGAAGAGAAATACCCTTAAAACATCAAGTCTGCAAGTACTGTTGTACAAGGTAATATTTATGTTGCATAGTATGATAATCTTTTTAGAAGCCATCTTTGTGTTTTCTCATTTAAGCAAAGCAATTCATGCTCAAATTTACAAGTCGGTTCATACAGCTAACGATGTTCACTTGCAACATGAATTATATGCTGGTAAGCTCCTTATTTCTTGTCTCTGAGTACCACAATCACTTGGATCCGGAGGATCCTTTCAAGAGTTCACATTCAGAGAACAGGGTTTTCCACCTCTCACTTCCCTCTGCAGTCTCCTGTGTCCCAAAAATATAATCCTGGAGAATGGAGGAGGTATGAGAACCATGTGGGCTGCTGATGGAGGGGGAGGTGAGATAAACCACTCCTGCCCTTGCATGACTTGGATCCTAAGTTGTTTCTCTGTTCGTGCAAAGGTAGGAGTGGATTTATCTCACCTTGCACAAACAGAGAAACAACTTAGGACCCAAGTCATGAAGAAACATGGCTTCAAGAACATTTCTATATCATTTTAACTACATTAACTCATAGTTCTGTATGAAGACCATACAGTGGTACCTTGGGTTACATATGCTTCAGGTTACAGACTCTGCTAACCCAGAAATAGTGCCTCGGGTTAAGAACTTTGCTTCGGGATGAGAACAGAAATTGTGCTCCAGCGGTGTGGCAGCAGTGGGAGGCCCCATTAGCTAAAGTGGTGCTTCAGCTTAAGAACAGTTTCAGGTTAAGAACGGACCTCCAGAACGAATTAAGTACTTAACCTGAGGTACCACTGTACTGCCAAAGATATAACCTTTATTATTCTGAATTACATCTAGGCCTAAGTGTGCTAAGATTCATGACAGGCTCACTAAAGTTCCTCCGATTTTTCTTCTTACCCAAACCAGGTATGACACAAATTATTAGTTTGCTGACAAGAGTTATTGTCAAATTGTTCATACAAAATGTTACTACTATAGCTATACTTCAGTGGGAAACATGTTCAATATCTGAATACAATACAGACATCTGAAATCATTTTAAAATCTCAAGGGGTTTAGAAAAAAAAGATTATGCACTACTGAAGCTTGTACTTCTTTTTTTGCTGAAGAAAGAAAATCTGCCATGGTATCTGAAGGCAGATGAAAATATTAAATGCCTAGATATCATATATACATAAAATGCATCTAATTAGATGGTCATTATTAAGAAATGATTACAAGGTTTCATATTCTGTTCACATTACAAATTATAATTTGCACTGAATAGAAACACAGTTACTTTGCAGTAAAGCAGAGATCTTACACATCTAAAAGTTATTTATGCTAAACATACTTACCTACTCCAACTGTTAAAGGAGAACCAGTGCGGGGAGGTGTAGCTGGAATATTCTTAGGTGGAAGAGGTGGAGGTGCTGTGAGCCAAATGGAAGAATTTTAAGTTAAGAATGGACAACATTTGTCAAATAAATAAACATAAACTCACAGTCGTATCTAGAGATTCAACCAAAGGATGGCTGAGATCCAAAGTCTGTTCCGCAAGTGGAAGCCACTTCTGCTTGGGCAAGTCCCCTAATTTTTGCCAATTCCCTCCTCTAGCTGCAGCCACCACATTTCATTCCATGCTGTCCAGGAGGGTCCCTGAACCATCAGAAGCAGCCCTCTGGTCTGACTGCAATGGAAGGACAAAGACCCCTTGTGTGAGTGGAATTCTGTTTGCATTTCTCTGTATCCGCTACAGTCACAGGGTTGGGAAGCACAGTTGTGTTGGGGAGGTAAATTCAAGTAAACTTCACACGACTGTATGTAAGGGTGCATGTGTACTTCCCCATCCCCAGATTCTACCTATTGCTGCAGGTGGCTTTTGAGAGCAAAAAGGGTTTCTCATCCCTGCAGAAGAAGATAGGTAAAAATAAATAAATCCCTCTTCTCCCCCCATCACCATTATGATATGGCAGCACCAGGTCTAAGCACCAGGAATCACCTGCCTTTTGTTGTGGCTGATATTTTATGAGATGACAACTTTTTTGTTTCCAGTCTCCAGAGTGAACTATATGTTTTTAAATAAATGTTGTTAACTTTTATTCTGCTTTTCCACATCCACAAATCCAATTTTTGGTTCTTATTAGGAGCTTGTGTATTTATGGCATGTGGCACCGGTTGCTAGGTGACTTGTCTTTCGGATAGGAAGGAGTCAGGTTTAGCTTTGCAAATTGAGATCACAGAGGCTTTTCTCCCCAGGGACTCCGAATCGTCTCTTTGCCTTTTCTGAAAGCTGCGTTTCCAATGCATAATTCAACTAATATCTCTTTGCTTCCATGACAGTATAATGAGCAATAACCCTCAACATTGCCACTTCCATCTCACGTTTCAGTGTTTTGTAGTGAAAAACAAAATGAAAAACCCCAACAATTTTTCAAATAGGAGATGCCTCAACTTACTTCCAGATGGAAAAGGTCGTGATGAATTCGGTGATTCTACACTTGGACTTGCTGGCTGCACAGAACCCCAGACCTCAGAGTGATCTATGGGAGCTGAAGTCACAGACATATAACATGATGCATACAAATCTAGAAGTAACACGAGAACTTAATTCCAAACAGAGCTTCTCTTTAGCAGCATCAGTTGAATCAAACACTGAACTGTAGGAGCTACTTGATAGATTATGGCAGGAGGAAAATGAGAAGAGAATGTAACGAGAATATGATTTTTTTGGAAATAAATTGTTAATAACCATTTTTCAAAACCCACAAATGAATTTCAGTGCTGGGAAATGCATATACCACCAAATCAGTGAATACCATTCTGAGCGTCTTTCTGCCCTGGATGCACGCGCGCGCGCGCACACACACACACACACACGCAGAGAGAGAGAGAGAGAGAGAGAGAGAGATACAGAGATCAATGGCCTCCTGGTGCCTCTAGCCAATGAGGAAGTTAACTGCTTTTCTGGTATCAGGATTTCTGCCAATAAAAGCAACATGGTTGGAGCTGTCATATGCAAAACACAAAAGCTTTACAGTGACACCTAAATTACCACAAGCATTCCCCTAATTCAGTGCTGAGTTAGAATCAACACAAGAGATTTTCATGCAGGTCTGTCCATTCAGATTAATGAGTGAGGAAAGGAAGTATTCGGCCACATTCCCACCTCGGATGGCCTGATCCCATGTTTTTTCTGGGTCACATATAATAGGAATCAGCAACCCAGCTTGCTCTTGACTAAGGCCAGGATTGGGAAAGGCTAGGAAGCACTGGTGGAAAGTAACAAGTGGACTGTAAGGGGTGTTAGCTGAACCCTACACTTAGACTTGGGACAAGATCTCCTTAGCACCAACTACCCCACAGGGCAGAAAAGCAAACACTGGACAAATATTAGTTGCTTATTGTCTAGGAATTAACATCATGTGGTTGCCTAGAAATTGCTAAACACTTCTTTCTCCTTTTTAACTTATGGCAGATTTCACCAAGTGCACACATACATACTCACAGACTCATTTGCGTTCACAAACAGTTTATATTTATTTATGTGATTCACTGAGTTTGTAGCCCACCCCTCTTCAGAGAACCCGGGCATATGAAATAAAGATGTAAAACGAATTAAACAAAACGTCATGTCAGACATATAAAGGTACATTGATAAAGTTAACTGGCAACACCTACCTTCTAACTTCTCTTCTTCAAATGCAGACTCCAGAGGTGGACCAAATAGTGGCGCTAGTACTGCAGGATCTTCCGGGGCTTTTTTGCTGCAGCACAACACAGATGCTGAATGATAATTACGCGCAAGGATCTTTTATTCAGCAGAGGTGACAGGCAGAGTTGATTTTGATTTTTTTTTTTTTTACAGTAGGGGTGGGGAACCATTTTCAGTTCAAGGCAGCGTTTCCTCAAAGGAAAGCAGTTGAGGGCCGCATTGCAGCGGTGGGCAGGGCCAGAGGCAAAAAGTGGGTGGAGCAATTGATGTGACTTATCTTTGTTCAGTAGGCTACATTCCATGCAGAGGGAAAAGGGACTGCCTTTTCCTATAATGAGGTGTGCACAGACTTGACAGATAGGACTTGGTAAGCCAGAACAAGAGCACAAACATCATTTGGGTACAAGGATTCCACACCATCCATGGCTTTGAATGAGGTTTTTTTTTAAAATGTAGTTTAACATTTATACTAACCTTAGAAGCTCTGGAGTAGGTGTTGAACGCCTGGGCCTTGCTATCTCTTCACCTGCCACATAAGACACAATTTTAAGGTAATTTTCTCATAGTGTCTTCTAGAAAACTTGTTCACATAACTATTTGATAATGTCAGCACCACCACAGCGTTCCTTCTGCTAGTCCATTTCTCACTAGTTTTAGTACTTATATAGTACTAGCTTAACTATGTTGTCCCTCTCCAGAATAATTTGAACCAGTTTTCATAATTCATGTCAACGTGACCCTGCATGCCCTTCCAGCTTCAAATTGCTCCCCTCACATTACCCATGGTGGGTGTCTCTTAACAGAACATAACTTGCTAAAAATATTATTCATTTGCTACCTTAAAAACATATAATGCATTTGTTGTGAGATAATAAACTGACTCCATGACTTGCCATTAACCTATTTTAATGTGGCCAAATTTTATGGAAAAGCTTTAGAAAATCCCATTTCAGCCATACCCTTCACCATTCAGATTACGAACATCTTGTAATTTTAGGCCCTGTTGAACTGGTTTGTGCATTCAGCCAATTGCAAATACTCCATATGCCTTTTCATTTAAAATGCGTCATCTCATTTTGAGACTGTCAGAGTCTGTTAATTTTACATTATGGATTCATGCATAATTTAATACTAGTGCATGGAATAATGTCCTCATAGCATTTTGAGGACTATCCCATTAACAATATATAGACTTTAGTCTCTTAAAAATTAGTTGTTGCAATGATTCTAGAGTTTGAAAATTAAGATGTAAAATTATGTAATCTTGATGATTCTAAATATATCCAACTTCCTGAGATATATTGTGTCCCAACAAAATTCAATAAATAGATATACTTACTAGATAAATTCCTTTTAATTGAACCCTACAATTAAAAGCAAAAACTACAGTTTAGGACTATAGGATTATACTTTTAGACATGTACAATAAATGGCAGCTTGCCTTAGTTGAAAAGAAAGAAAACAGAATTAGGCATTAACACTGCTAAAATAAAATATACATTAACTTGGATTCACATTCTTCGTTTTGTACGTTTGTACCCCAGTGCAGATTCATTCACACACATATACCAGATATAGGCAAATAGAATATTTGATTAGCTGTTACAAATGCACTGCCTGAGAATTTCAGGTGTTTGAATCAAGACAAACAAACAAAAAGTGATCATACATTTTGGAATTGCAACGATGTGCCAAACAAATCCAGAGAGCTTGACAAGTAATTTATTTACTGTTCTAGAACTTCTTAATGCACTCATACTTAAGTCTCACACACTTGATCACTGGCTTTGGACTGAAATCAAACATGTTTCCAAGCAGGCTTTAATATTCCAGAAGATATAAAGAAACAATTGGTGGGGACAGGGGGAAGGAGATAAAACTTCAGAAAGTAGGAGGCAGGTGGGAAACAATGTCTGAATATGCAAAAGGTATCAGAACAGCTGACAACAGTATTTGCCATAGCAACAGGGAAGATATGGCAAATTTAATGTCAGTCAGTCACTAATCCTCATATCTCTGCCACCATCATCCATCCATCCTTCACTCGCACAATGTTTCTGCAAAATGCATGTATTGTCAAAGAAAACAGTTTTTCAAGGCAAATTCTTGCAAAAACTTTTCCTTTCAAATCACGCTTTGTAATAATATCTCCACTAAGAATACTTCTATGCTACAGGAAGAGACAGTAACACCAAAGTTCAAGGAAGTGAGTTATTAAGGACAACAAAATTATTGTTAGCACTGTAGGCAGAAGTCTGGTGAGAGAGAATTGGATCCTAGCCAAACATGTCACTAGCTGATTCTTGCCAAGATTTCCATTCTGTAGTCAGTCCTCAGAAACATATTCTAATGGATATGCTAGGCATATTATCGGCCTATGAGATATCTGATGTTAACATGTGCCAATTAAACAAATAATGTTCCATCAAATTCTCTCTTTTGAAGCCAATAGTAAGCTGTAAGACCAAGCTATTTTTTTGCACATTTTTGTTAAATAGGTGTCATATCACATCAATAGAATACATTGCAGGACGTATATGGATGTATTCGTATTCTGGAATAGCAAGTGTGAAAAAAATCTGGTCAGAACCTCAAAAACAAAAGAAAAAGAAAATCAACCAGGGAAGTTCATCTTGGCAATAGTTCAATTCAGTTAGCATGGTTGCTTCCTTGTTCTATGCGGAAATTGGTTTGAAAATTTTCTGAACAATCATGAGAGTTGGCAGACTGCTTTATTCAAAATGAAGTAATCCAAAAATTATCCATTACTCCAAGAAGGACAGTTTCTGTGTAGGACAGTTTCAAGAGTGGCACTACTCTTTAAAGACATTAAAGAATTCCTAAGCAATATTTGATTTATTTAATAAAATTTAGAAATTGCTTGACTGTTTTTTTTTAAAAAAAGATAAACAATAAAATCAAGAAAATTCACAACCCTACTTTAAAATATACACAAGTTTAAATACTAAAACAGATTAAAATTACCTCAGCTTTCTAAGTATCTAGGAGTAGGTTTGTCTAAACAGGAATGTTTTTAGCAGGCACTGAAAAGAGTACAGTGAAGGCACTTGCTTGATCGCAATAGGCAGGGAGTTCCAAAGAGGAGGTGCTGCCACACAAAACAATGGATTTTTTTTACAAATGTGGAACAGGTATTACGTGGAATCTGTAGCAGTGCCAGTATGGTTCCATTCAGTATTTCTATAACAGAAAAAGGCTGCTACAGATAGCCACACACCCCTGAAAGAACAGTAATTTTCACCCAATTACTTTTAAGTTAGATCAATTTGCTGTACTTGCAGTTCACAAAACTAATTTAAATTAAACCCAGATGACAAACACTCCCAGTCGTTCCTGCTACTGATTTAATGCGAAAAGTCGTCTTACCGGGCTGCGCCTCTGTTATCAGCAAAAAAGAAGAGAGAAAGGTACCTAGTCAGAGAGTGACAGATCAATAATAAAAAAAGGACTTTGGATGATGAGCTCTTCCTCTAGCTTCACACATTAAGTAAACAATTTCCCCAGATTCCCCCTGTCTCATGAAGACCCCGACCCTATCTGATGTCCTTTTAATGAGTAAGCTATATAGATGTCTGCAGAAATTTTGGAAACAAATGGTTAACTTTGAGGCTCCTTGAGGCCTATTGCAGCAATACCAAAGGGGCTGCCCAGCTTAGATACTCTGATAGGATGGAACCTAGAATGGCAGCCTGCACATAGCACTCCAAATTCTGGAACTGACCAGAGGGAAAGGGTTAAATACTCCCTCAACTCAGAGCTGCTGAGGGGCTCTTTGTCACTGCTCTTAAGTTTTTAAAACAAAATAGATTATCCAATCACAGATCTACCTTGTCGTTTGTAGTTCGACCCATTGATACCCCATAAACCTAACTAAAGGAAGACATGCCATAGGTATGGAAGGGTGAGACATCGATTGTTAAGAAACCTAGCAAATTTTAATCTGCCCTCAAGGTCCCCTTCTCATATCTCTCTAGTAAATCCTTGTTAAAAAATAAATGGGCAAATTAGAGTTCTACTGTATTGGCTTATTTGCAGCAAGAAATTAGTAGAGAAATACAGACAAACAGGCACACACGTCACGAGTTTTCCGAAGAATGATCACATTAATTCTTATAAAAACAGGAAATGCTGTGGCATACAAAAGTACACAAGATGCAAAGAGAGATTAGGCAAGCCATCCTTCTTAGTTCCCCTGTACCAAAATGGGTAATAATGTATTTATGACTGTCCAAATAAAGGAATATAGGTGAGACACTTGTTGAACATGAGTGCATAAATGTTAAAAAATGTTCTTGGTTATAGATTTAGATGAGATTATAAAAACAACAGAGCTGAAGATGCACAAGGATCAGTTTGGAATCATACTGCAATGCAAATCAAACTAACCAGGAAATGCCAAGTAATTGATAGCATTTATGCTCTTTTATGGGTGTTTTGTCTTCAGCGCTTAGATACTTTGTTTACTGGTGGTATGTAAACCTCTAAAATAAATAAATATAACTGAAGCAGCAGTGCTCTCTGGAGAGAGTTGGGCTATTTTTGGCTATAGCTTGGATACTACTGTGCTCATGATCTCACACAGTTTCAGTAACTTCAGTGGAACAATGCCAATACACACTAGCCAAGAATTTGTCAATACATATTTTCCTTTCATTCTTTCCAGTAAGCAACTGCTTGCCACTTCTACTTATCTGTGACATTTAAGGCTGGGGAAAGGAATCTGCAAATATCTAGTATGCCACTAATTTAGCCTCACATTTCATCAACATTTCTTTTTCAAAGTTTGGTCTCAGCCCACCAAACAGACACAATTTTCCTGACTTTATATTTGTACAAAAGCAGATCATGGATCTGATCCAGGGGCAGAGAGGCCCCACTTCACTGCCTGAGACAAAAGAGGAATGTGTCATGCCATGCCACCCTCCTGCCACCCCACAAAATCCTCCCTTACCTGGGTTGTGTGGCAGCACCTGAGAAGCAGTGGCGAGATCTGGCAGGATCTTGTAAAGCACATGAGATCTAGCCAGAAACTGCCACTGTTGGTTCTCTGCTAGTGGGGCGCCCATGAGGGAGTCTCCTCATGGGTGGGCCAGCCCTGATCTGATCCTACAGAACATCATATGAAGCAGCTGAGACCGTGCACATATAGCCTTTTAAACAAAGCTAAGATTCACTGATCAGCTGCTGGCCAAGGGGACTGAATTCTGTTCTTACTGCCAAACAGCCTATCAGCAGATTTCAGCTTTTTAAAGAGGGCTACATGCCCTCAGCTGCATCTGTTGTATCGGGAAGGGGTAGCTAAGTGAAAACCTGTTTACACATCTGTGTAGTAGCTAGTTGAACTGCGGAAAGTGTGCACATTATTGCAGGAAATAGTTCCGTCATGATGAGTCTACAGATAAGATGAAAGTGCCTGTCATGCTATTCTCTTCATGCCAGTGCAGGTTGTTGCTGCAATTGTGCTTTTGCTCTAACTTCCACCACAAAGCAGAGTAAACCAAATAGGTCTAATTCTCATAAATATGCAACATGTATTCCTTGGCAGGATGGGTACAGATGTCATAAGCCCAATGAAAGTGAAAGAAAACTACTGTGGATATAAAAGCTTACACATGAATTTAGTGGTGGAGGTGCTAACCCCCTTTTTATGTCTCCATAATTTAGGGAAGGAGTCAAATTAGCATATCAATATAGCAAAGTCCTGGATGTCTGGTTGAACCAGACTGTACAGCAGTCTTTATGTTGTCTAAAAAACTTGGAGAAATTAATGCAGTGAAATCCAGCACTGGATCTTCAGCTGAAGAGTAGTATACAAATTTAATAAATAATAATGGTGATGGTAATAGGTCACAAAATACTATGGCTGAATGATTTTATGAACAGTCAAGAAACCAGAAGTAGAGTTACAGAGGTTCATACTTTACTTGTGGAAATTTGCAAAGTCCCCATTTATTCCAGCATTGTTAAGATTTAAAGCTTCATACCATTACATATATTTATGTGCAGTATGAATTGAATGGGATTAGCCACCACTCATAAAGAAAGCCAAATGGAAAATTACCAGTACCTGTAAATAATAAGATTTTGCATTTTATATTCTTGGTTTTATAGACTGTTTTTTTAAAAAGATAAATAAAGTGAATACTTGCTAATGCAAATAATCCATTAAAATGATAGATACAAAGAAAGAAAACGGGATAGATAATTTCTTACCGGACTTTTCCTCTATAGAATGCATTAACAAATGGAGAAAAGGGAGGGAAAATAAGCATTTTCTAAAAACATAAGCATTTATGCATAGAATATCACTCTATGAAATGGCATATCCCAGTCTCCTGTCCAAGCAGGTCTGCTCAGTAGTAAAATGGGAAGTATGATTGCATTACAAGCAAACTAACAAATTCTGAAATGCCTAAAAGGTTATCATATACAAAATAGAGTAAATACTCATATAGAAGTGTAAATCAGTAATGTAAGTGCAGTCTGATCCCAGCTTATGCATACTCACTCAGAAATATGTTCCACTGAGATAAATGACATTTACCCCCCAAATAAGAGTGCATACAATTGCAGTCTTACATTGTAAATGCACAGTTACACATTGCTGGTACACCAAATAAAGAGAAACGATATTTTCATACCCCACAATCAATTTTCCATTAAAATATGTATACGGCAGTAAACTGAGTATCCTGATGGACTTCAAAAGCTGTACCCTTCCAAAAAGTGTGGACTTGTTTTTATTTTCTCCACAACAGGCATTTGCAACAATTTTGGCTTCTTACTTTCGTGAAAAGCTATTTGACTTGAAAACAAACTTTCAATGTTATATTACTGTTATGATGGTGATGTTACAGGTGCTTTGTATACAGCCAAATACTGCTACATTTCTTTGAGACATCATTCTGGCAGTTATCTTGAGAACAGAAGTAGTCAGGAAAATGCCAATCATTATCCTGGCTTCCATTATCAGATTTACTTTGCTAATAAGGATAATAAAATAAACAATTTCCAGAAAATAGGGATGATAGATGTGATCCACTAAGTAACTGAAGATACATGCATTCTCTTCTGCCTAAGCAGGCTAGCACTATCACCCCCACCCTATTTAAATGAGTAGAAAACTTGTGGGTTATACATTTAGAATAATGAGCTTCCTTTTGTAATCCAATAAGAGACCTATTACAACTCAACAGAAGGCTCTGAGTAGTTCCTCCATCAAACACTACAGAAGAAACCTCTCACTAAGCCTCGGTTTCAATCAAAAACTATTTGTTTGCCATCTACTTAAGGAAGAGAATAAAGCAAGATTCACAAGACAGGTTCTTGTTGTGAAAAAACAAGTTCTTACTGTGGACTGCTGTCCTCAGAGGATGCTGAAGGTTATTTGGGAGGCTGGGCACCTCCTCTGCAGCTAGCAAACAGAGCAAAATTATGGCCTTTCCATACTCCCCAGAACAAGACTGGAAGTGATTGGGGAGCTGAATAAACAAAGAAATATTCCTCAAAAACCTCCTTTACCTGGACCATCCTGACCTGGGAAAAGGTCACATAAGAAAAGCCTCCTCGTCTGGGTGTTCCCCAGTTTAGGAGCTGACATAATAAATGAACAGGCACATACAACAGCTCCACTGCTTTCTTGGGGAGGAAATGCAGCTTGTTTGCCAGCCTAAGCTTGCCCTTAGTTGGGTTTACCCACTCTGTCTTCAAAGCCTCAGGCAGGTGCAATGCCTAAGGAGGACCCTAAGGGGGGACAGCTGCCCCTCTAGATCAAGTAAATCAATAAAAATACTTAACTGAGGTTCTGCACCCCCCCCCCCAGCATGAAGCCTGCCCCTGCTAACATACCGTAAATCCTGACTACGCCCATGGAGGACCCTGTGGGAAGGCGATTCTTGCTCCCTTCTGGGTGGCTTCTGCGGCATTCACCAAAAGCACCAGGAAAACTTCCAAAGGAAACAGCAGGGTAGGCTGCTTTCTGTCTTACTCCAAAAGTCTTCCCCCCTCTGCCCCTTCCTGTATTTGGGGATTCAGACCCGGCCTCATATAGCTGTGTGGCCTGGCTAGGAATGAACCCCAGGGTCAATAGGAACATGCTGGCTTAGCTTTGCGCAGTGGCAGTATTGTAGCCAATGAGGGGAATGTGTTGGCTTGCTTCTTTTGGGGGTTGTCATCCCTCCCCCACCAAAGAGAGGAGGTGCCTCTTTGGAACCCATGGGCTGCAGGCTTGTGGGAAGTACAAGCAGCCCTGGAAGAGCTTCTAGAGGAGGAACCAGAGTGGTCCCTGAAGCTCCTATTTCCTCTTGTCCTAAGACTGGCCCTGGGACCTGCCCTTCCATCCCCTGCTATAGACCTCAGGAAGTATTCTCTTTGCTACCTCAATCCTCCAATGTGCTGCTCCATTAAGCATGCATGCTTGCTATGGGCATGCAAGAAAGTTCTATGAGAAAGAGTTCTGTGATGGGTTCCACACACAGCCACATACCTTATGGGTCAGGGATGCAGAAGCAGTGCCCCATGGTAGATCATGTGGAGCACCCAGCCTCCTTCTGCCCATCATCCATCAGCATCAAGAGATTCTGGTACACACCTACCCAACTCAGATTGCTGCCCTCACCCTTGGAGCCACAACCCAACTGCCAAGCCTAGGATGTGTTAGTAGGAAGGGGGAGGGGATACCTGGAGGCAGCAACCAAAGGAATAAAGGGATTTCTACCACCTCCCACCCCAAAGAAAGCAGGAACCATTTCGGCTCTTAGGAGCTCCAACCAAGCACCACCTGGAGGCTTGGCAGGTAAAGCCAGTCTGTTAAGTGCACGGAAGTCCCTCCTATATAAGGAAATAAATTCTGCTTTCCAGCTCTACAGCAGGTGCCTCCCTGAAGGTACTTAACACCTTATGGGATCCTCTAAAGAATATGCAATTCGTATTCCAAAAGAGGTTTGGTCTATTTATGATTACAACTTCTCATTTGTCTCTTATCTGGACTCCTGGTTGTCCTCCTTATTCTATTTATTTTGAGACACTGCAATATCCAGCAAATGCTACTCACTCCCAAGTGCCTCAATCCTGTTTTATGCTTCGGTGTTTGAGCAGATGGCCATTGGCTAAAGGAGGTTACAGGGCAGAGCAAAGCACTGCTTTTTTATTTTTTTTATTTTTTATAAATATTTTTTATTGCGTTTCTTTCCATGGGTTCACAAGTTCAAAAATACAAGAGTAAAAAACAAGAAACAGATTATAAAGATATAAGAAAATAAAAAAGCATAGATATATGTCAAATCCTCTTTCCATAATTTATCACTGTCAGTTGGACCTCCTCACATCTTCCAGGCCTTGCGTTCTATACAATAACAGTGTCAGCAATTTGTTACCTTACTTCGCAACTTACTGTAACTTTCAATTATTATGTTTCCAAGTTCAGAGTGTTATAACCCAGTTTTTGTACCTTTAAAATAAACATAATATATTTGTTTCACATTTGTCTCCTCTTTTTTTCCTTTGTTATCACTTACTTTACCAGAGCAAAGCACTGCTAAGTCTATTAGCTTAATTGACATGGAGGAAGAAGTAACTATATATCAAAAAAAGAAAAGAAAAAAGAAACACACTAAAAAAGAAGAGAAAAAGAAAAGCCCTATCGGTGAAGGTGAACCCTCCCTGCTGCTTGTCTTGTGCCTCACTGCTCCATCCACTTTCCTTCTTTCCTGGCTCCAATGCTAGAAGTGACTCAGGAGCAGACAAAGTGCCAAGAGAAATTAACTGCGGAGATGTAAGTTACAGGGAAAGACCATCCCATCCCTAGCTTTACTTCCCATTACTTAGCACCTATGTTCTTTTCATGTGCCATAGGTGCTACCGTCACATATAATAGTGCAATTTATCTGGGAGTGGGAGATGCCAACACTGTGCTGGGAGTCTCCACCTCTAACATGTTTCAACATCTGAAGTAAGTTTATGTGCTTACTGATGTCTCTACACAATCCGAAACCCGGCCTTTGAAGGATTCCCGGTCATATAAAGAGGTCCGTACACATGCACAAATGCCATGTGCACCAGGCTCACTTTAGTACCTCTAAATGAACATGTGAAAGTTGGGGTAGAGTCTGCCATGATGATGCCCCCACCATGCTTGTTCTGCCTTGTTAGAATACCTCTGAGGATCTAGGCTAAGGAGAATCAGGTGGAATGAATGTAAGGTCAGGCTAACTTGGCTTCGCTGAATAAAAATGTCAAACAGAAGGTATTCTAGGCCTAGAGAACAGGATGACAGGACAGATTGGAAGAAAGGAACCAAAAGAGGGTGCAAGAGGGACAGTGAAACCCTACACAAAAGGGCAACAGCAGGTCCTGCAGGCCTGGAAAATGTATGCCAGAGCTCCTTGGAGCCCTATAGACACGATAATAAATAAATGTAATTTTTGAAAGAATTGCTAATCATATCTGGAGTTTCCACCCTGCTTGACTTTTGTTAGTGTTTTGAAATTTAAAGAAAAACCCCTTGACAATAAAAGTTATAAATGAAGCCACCTTCATCCTTATCAGGTACAATAATTGAGTAACTAAAGTAACTGCCCCACATCATCATCTTTGCTCCTACCTCATCTCTTCTTAGCTAATGGAAATCCTCAAGCACACAGTCCTCCGCCTCTTATAAAAGCTTAAAGGAGCAGAGTAGTCAGCCATGTCCTCTATATACCACCCCAGGTGCCTTATGGATGAAATATAAAGACTTTATGAGGATGCTGGCATTTACCGTTTAGCCAATAATAGGATGTGGAAAACAAATATACAATGCTTTCACACACTAGATGGAATCCAACTATAGTGAAAAAAGTGTTGTGTTAGAAAACAAGGCATCACTTCTATTGATGAAACAGAGTACAGTCTTTTGAATTAAACACCCCAAATATCTTACTTAATTTACTGCTTTCAAATATAACAGCATGAAGTGCTGCTGTCTTAGAAAAGAATGTAAAGCAATGCAATTTGCTTGGTATATATTCTGCCCTCATTCAAAGAGTGTAGTTATAGAGCAATTTAGTTCAGTTATTCTTATTAGCATCCTGCTCTCCCTAAAGAGCATTACTGCTTTACATGCCAAGCTTCCTTAAGACGTACAACATCAGTAGATCAGGAAGCTGCATTTTCTGCAGTGCAACAAAGCCATCATTCTGATTTACTGTTCCCACATCTTCCACAGCCCAGGAAATGAGTGTCACAAATCAACTCTTGAACCTGGCTTCCATATACAACAATATAATGCACTGTTGTCTTGCCTCCAAGCCCAGCTGCAACAGCCTGGTGACTGCATAATGACTGCAAAGCTCACTTGCTAGAATAAAGACCAACCGCCACAGCACATAAGCAAAAAACAGAATGCAATAGCAAATTTAAAAACAACATAAATGTGATCCCAGCAGTATTGTTAAAACACGTTATGTAGTTTAATTTAGTACAACTTCAGGGTTTTTTTGCTTTGGTTTACAGGGTAGAGACCAACAAATAAATAAACAAAAGTTGACATTGACACCTATTTCCTATTATGTAGCTAGTTCCATATTATTAAAACTTAAGTAATCAGATGAAAATGCAATTGCTAAAAGTCAATCAACATTGGAAAACTTTATTTGATTGCAAATTAAAAACAGCTAATGATAATTCATTTTGTTCTATTGTAAACTGAAAAGCTTTTAAGCAATTATGTACCCACAGAACACTATTACTTAGAACAGCAATTAATTATAGATATAAGTTAGTATTAGCTGTGACTAGGGATCAGTTAGGGGCGTTCTACAGTTTTTCTGTTGCCAGGCTATATTCTGTCATGGCTTTCTCCCAAGAATGTCAGGATTAGTACTTCTGTGAGGGTACTGAAAAGTCCTGAAGCACTGTTCACCTCACATAACTATAAAACCCTGGGTTCCTTGCAAGGGGGAAAATGAGATATTTGCAATGTAGGTATGAATTAGTAGCATGTAAGTAAGTCTTACATTTACGTTTTGTTTGTGTGCCCCTCTTTCAGCAGTCTACCCTTGATTTTTAGAACAGTGGTAGACTGGATAGAAAACAAAACTAAGGAGTTAGAAGTGATCCAAGGGTATTATCTCTAGCATTTCTTGTCACTAAAGCAGCATCCCATTTCCCAAAAATAAGTTGATCTTTGCAGCACTCTCAACCTAAGTGGGTTTTCCCTAGCAAGCTACAAAATTCAGCCTTCCGCAGGTGCTGTGTGTTCAGCAGCGCCTCCAGTGACAAGGTTATACAAAAGCTTTGAGAGAAAGTATTGCAATGTATTTATCAGCTTGTGTATGTGATAAGTCTGTTTTACTCAACAATGCCAGGCCCCTGGCCCTAAATGCAAAATCATTTATCAAAATAAGAAAACCTGTTTTAGCAGGAAAAGATAATCCATCCTCTTCCCCTCCCCCCCAAACATGCTCTCTAAATTGAACAAAATTATATAGATTTGATTCAGCTGTCATATATGCTTGTCCTCACTTTAGATTAAAATTTCCAGATGATAGAAGCAGAGGTAGCTAATCTGTTAGAATAGAGCTCCCATCATTCCTGACCATTGGCTATGGGGCAGATGGGAATCGTAGTCCAATAACACATTGGCTACTTTGGATTTAGAGTAAAATTTTAGAGAAAGCGTATGGTTTCATGTACAAGCACACAAAACAGTGACTTCTGAGATTTTACTTTCACATTTTTTTATTCCACAGTCCTCAAAACTCACAAGCAATACTACTGGACTATGGCCCCACACATAACACATTTTTTAAAAGGCATTGTTGCCTAACCTCCTTAACAAGGGAGCCTACAACTCCCCCCCCCCCAAATCTGAACAGTTTGAGTGAGTAAGATTTTTTTGCAAAGCTTCAAGGCAAAGACAAGTCAGATAAGACTTTGAAGAGATAAAGCCCACACTGAATATATAAACTGCTGCTTGTCCTGAAAGGGTTCAGTCGCCATCCCTGCTCCTTTGCTTTCCTATGAGTTCTGGAATCTCCAGTGGGAAATGAATACTGTACAAGTAATTTCCACAAGGGAGAAGGTCCTCCAAAGCCTTTATCTCCAGGCTCTCTCTCATGGCTGGCAACCTCTTTTTTATTTCACTTCAATAAATTATTCAAAACACATTTTTTCTTACTTGCTGTCATTGGATACACAAGGACTAGTAGCTTACCACGGCTCTGTTCTCTTTATCACAAACACTTTCGTTGTGTTCACACTTCATATCTACACTTATACATTTAAAACATTTTACAGTGTAATCCTATGCATGCTTAATGAGGTCTCCCTGTGTTCCGTGGGGCTTTCTCCCCGGAAAGTGTTACAGGAGTGCAAGTCCTGCTTGTGTGCAAAATTTTCAGATGGAAATAGCATGTGGGGAAAGTGCTTAAAAAGTACCTCTCCCTCTGTGCCAGTCTTTCCTTTCAAATTGCAGCCTTGTATTCTGTTGGGGGTGGGGGAATCCTCCAGATCGTATCACAGAACTACTTGCCATGTCTTCTCCTTCTCCAAGGGGCAAAACAATACCATCTTCATTCATTCTCTGCTGCCCCTTATGACATAACAATCCAGACTATTTCCAATAAATTCGATTCTGACTTTACATGGAATCTTACGTTGCCAAATTACAGCTTTACACCTTTAAGCATACATTAGGCTGGCTTTCAAGTCTCAGAGGGTGGCTCAGCATAAAGCATAGGAGGGGGTCTACTTCCCCTAAAAAAAGATCAAGGACCTCTCCTGAGCTCACAGAATCAATATATAGCTATCTGGCTTGTGGGCGTGTACCTACAAAAATGTGACCCTATTTTTAACAAGTAAAGTCATCTATAATTAGTAATGTCTTATTTTTTGTTATAGTGCTGCAAATGTTTTTTCTTTTGGCATGGATCAAAATAGCCGTGCCATTCACTGATATGAGAAACATTAGGCTTACTGAAATGTACTTGGCATGCACAGAAAGTTGCTAGTGCAGTTCAGCAATATACTTAAAAAAGCAACCTGTTGACATGCAGAACACATTTTTCAACACATCCCGAACCAAAAATAGTTTCTGAAAAGCCTTGCCATTGTGTGATAAAACCAAGATTTGTTATAATAAAAATGCTAATACAAGGAACAAATATAACAAGAAAGCTAAGCAAAATTAATTTTTGAAAATCTAATCAATCACCATATTAAAAAAAGAGTTCTGCTTACCACTAGAGATGGCGAAAGTGCAATGTTGCCTATAGAGGCTTTCAGTTCATCAACGGTTGCCGCACTCTTAAGAACATCTTTAGACTGCAAGGGCTTAATCTTAATGTTGAATTTCTTGTGTGCCTCCTCTTCTTCTTCAGATTCACTTGAGGAATAAAAGTGCTTTCCTTTGGTAGGTAGATCACAGTTAAAGAGAAATGTTGTTGAATCACAAAATATAACTTTTGGAACTGATTGGCAAGGGCCAACAATGATAAAAACAGATTTACAAATTCCAGAGAGTAACAGCAACCAGCAGCAGCACCGTAAGATATGAGATGGTTAATATTGCGGAAGGCAAACTATATTGCTATTGGGCCCAAGCCATTTAGGATTTTGTACACTAGTATTAACATCTTGAATCGGGCCTAGCAGCTCACTGCCAAGCAGTGCAGCATTTTCATAACCAGAACCCTACCAGTTGCTGCAACTTCCAACTGTCCCCAAGTGCAGCCCTGCACACAGCAGGTTGCAGTAGTCCAAATGGGAGATCAGTACAGCATGCTTAGCCCAAGCTGTTCTTGTCCATGAATAAACACAGCTTGTGGGCCAGCCTAAGCTGGCCATTAGCACTTCTAGAGGCCATAGGGGCCACTGGAGACTAACACAGGCAACTTCCAACCTGCACACATTTAACTTGTGCACATTCAGCTTTTCACATTTGGCTAAAATAAAATAAAATAAAATAAAATAAAAGGGGTGGAAAGGAAGCGGGGTTCCAGGAAAAATGATTTTGGCAATCCCATCCACCACAGAACCCAATGTGTTTTGACTATATGCAATTTTGGATTTACACTTGATCACCAGAACATAACCCCTGCGTAAGTTGAGAGTAGCCTATAATAGATTCTGGATCAGCAAGTACTCCCAGACTACGATCCTGTACCTTCAGAGTAAGCGGAAGCCTTTCAGAACAGGTCATCCACCTAATTCCTGGACACAAGATCGGTCCATCCACAATACCTCCATCAGGATCAATTTCAGTTTCTTGGTCCCCACCCAGACCATCACTGCCTCCAACACTAGGCATGAGTGTTGGCTCCTTTTTTCTTTTTATAATGATTTCTTAAAATTAAATTTTACTTATGGTCACTATCTTTTCATTCATAAAGCCTCTTGAACATTTTAGGCTCCTTTGGGAGGAGGGGCGGGATATAGATTTGATAAATATATAAAATAAAATAAACTTGAGATACTGATGTTTCGGGGGCATCCAGCAGCATGGAGGATGGCAGCAGGTGGCCACACTTGAACCCACACTTGTTTCAGAGTTTGCAAACTCAGTTGTAAAACTGACCATGAAGGATATAGCCTGGTTCGTCTGGTCTGATGCTGTATCCTTCTTCATCAAGCTCAGGTGAATTCTGGTGCAGCAAACATAGTGAAGCAATTAGAGTACTTGCAAAACATTAAGTAATCACTCTTTCTTTCCCCCTCTCTCACACCAATTGCATATTAATAAGAAGCACTTGTCCAATAAACTATTGGTATATGCAATGCTCTCTACGCTTAACTAAGAATGAAGAGTCTACCCAGGAACCTGTTTTCTCAGCCAGGCAGTCAAACAGTTGTGCTAACTGCTCTGATCTCTGTGCAGTAGGGGGAACGTCGGGTGAAAATATTAAATAGATAAGGAATATGTCTAATATAAGAAAATGGTGGCTTGGAAATATGGAAGACATCAAAGCATTATCTATGCAAACATTTGCATGAGACCTCTTGCTAAAGAAGGGCTCATTTCCAGTGCCTGATAGAATTTTCTTTTTGCACCTTTGCCTTCTGGTTGCTACTCTTTAAAAGTGATGTCCCTGTATCAGAAATCAAGTTGGCTCTCATTTATTAAATAAAATCTAGCTTCCACCTTGGTTTACATAGCCATGATAACATTTACAACAGAACCAGCTGCTTCTTTTCTGATGGTTTACAAAATTCCCATGTTGCTTCCTTCTTCAAAAAGCTCCAAAGTGATTTACAACTAAAATTAAAATACAGTAATAAAACGCATAATCATATAAAAACATAATCAGAATACAAGCATCCTATCACTGGTGCTCCCAAGAAGAACATCATGGACCATGGTATGGAAAGTTGTCAAGCGATCAAGGACAATCAATGGGGACACATTCCCCCATCTCTCTGCTGATACAAGGTATAATACAGGATGGCCTCATTGCCTAAACCAGGCCTAAACACAGAATGAAGTAGATCTAGAAAATCAGCTTCATCCAAGAGTGCCTGGAGACTAGAGCTGGTTGGTGCCCACCGACTCAAGAACCAGGCTCAGCAAAGGGACATTTGCAACCAGTCTATAGTTATACATAACTTTTGGGTCTAATGAAAATTATGAATGAGTAGTCTTGCTGCTGGCTCTTTCGTGGGACTACTTCCTCTCTCAGAGAGGCATTAATTATCTTCTTGGGCTAGTTGGCCATCCCCTCCCTACTGGATGTTATCAGTCATAGCATGTACGGGGGCAAGAACACCTACACCCTTCCAAGCACATCATCCACATTCTCAAGCCTTATTAATTGATACTCATCCATGAACATCTGACAAAATAGTGTTCTGGATACTCTTAGAAACTGGCCTGCTATAATAGTGAAATCTAGGTCTCCATGGATACAAGCAATCATATCTTCAACATGCCTTACAAATAATTCACAGCAGGGCATTGAGAGTTCCACCATATCCTTCAGGCCAATATGTAAAAGAATCCTATAAAGCTCTGGTGGATGAGACACCAAGGATGATAGAGGCAGAGAAGTAATTTTTTACTGCCTTCACCAGCACAAAATAGGCTTTACAATGAGCACACACTTGCTTTCAACTGCATTCATTCCAATTCTTCCTTCTACTTGCATTATAATCATATTCTAACCTGCTTTATTGCTCTCAACTCCAGGGTATACCATGGTACTACTTGGGCTCAGGCAAAACCCTTAGGGGTGAACATAGGGCAAATCCTAAATTGCAAAGATAGACCAGGACCTCAACAGGATTGCCAAACCTCTCAGCAGAAAAAATACCCCAGAGTCTCCTGGAAGCCAATTGGTTCCATCAGTCTTCGACGGCAGACCATTCTAATAGGCCCCCGTCTCTGCAGAAGAGAAAAGTAATTGACAATCTAAATCTCGACAGGAGGGGATCTGACCATGACAAGGGAATGCAGTTACAGTGAGACACAGCTGGTTGATAAAGCCAAAAAGGTAGTACCAGAAAGAGCAGTTTATTTGAACTATACTGTCTCTATATCAAATCTCATATATTGAAGCATTTTCCAAAAAACAATGTCTGGAAAGTATGCATGACACATGTGTTAAAAAAAATATTGTAGCATACCACTCTATTTATAGATATTAATCATGCCAAATAATGCTTCAACCCAAACACCCAGTCTCCTCAAACTGGGCATAGTAACTGTACTAAAAATAATAGTAATATTTTGATTATTTTACTTATAATGCATATATATATTATATATACTTGGTATACAAAGTGAAGAGAAAGAACTTCACACACACACACACACACACACACACACACACACAGTTAGGGACTACAGTAATTTTGTTATATTACCAGATCAAGTTGTGTGATTTTAAAGGTGATCATTGTAAACAGGAGCACACTTGAACTTTTAAATTCTTTTCAGCTAAAGCAAGCAAAAACTATTCCAAAAGAAATTTTAATTTCTTCTAATTAACTTGGACACCTTCCATACTAACAGCACGAAATCTGTCTGAAATGGCGCCCACCTTATTAGCATAATTGGTCTTTAACATTTTATTGGCTCTTTCCCATTCTCCCAAGGCAATTTTGCACAATCTAATTAACACGAAACGATTAGAAGATATTCCAAAGTAGGGCTAGGGCATCCCTTTGAAGCAAGGGTGCTCAAATATGCAAACACTCCTTCTCAAATGACTGCGAGGAGAACCAAAGCGGTCTGTTCTGCTCACCCTCCACTCCCCCCGCCCAGGCTAGTCCCCCTTTCCACAAGGCTGTGTGGGGCTGACTGCTGATAACTCCCATGATCCCTAGCTAGCAGGACCAGTGGTCAGGGATGATGGGAATTGTAGTCTCAAAACATCTGGAGGGCCGAGGTTGAGGAAGCCTGACCTAGAACTTCAAGAATGGTTGTTGCAGGACAAAAACCAAAGCTGTTGCTGATAATCCTCATGCCCCAAGGGCCTTTCAGAAGCAGGTTTGCTTTCTGCCCCATGCATGGTGTTTTCAGAGATGAAACATCTTTACATCCACCTGGTTAAAATCATGGAGACCGTATTTCTGCTGATTTCAAGTAGGTATATTGAAAGACACTGCAGTTCAGACAATGGCTGGCAAACATTTTTATGTTTAGTATGTGCAAAAGCCCTCAAGCTTTTATGAGTACTAAAAGGAAGCAAAAACCTTTGAGCTGAACACAGGGTTCTTTACTCTGTTCCAGAGTAAAGTGTAAACTCACATCCACATCTATATGAATGCACTATTTTCCTTAAATAATTTAAATTGTTGCTGGTTTAATTCATTCAAATTACTCCAAGATCATATCCTTTTCTAGATCTAGTTGCAATTCCCAAAACCAGCAGAGACTTAAACCTGAAACAGGTGTGATACAACTTTCAATTTTGCTATGGGCTCCAAATTTGATGGCAATCTGCATGGTAATCTAGAAAAAGAAAGAAGCTGTAGTTTTCTCTTTTGTGCAAACTACATCACTACGGAGGGGAAACTACGTATTTTTTCATGTTCCATCTGTTTGTCAGAGGCAGAGTCTTAGCTCACTTGCATACAAGTTTGAAGAAGGTAAGAAACAGCAAGAGAACGACTGGTATTTCTAACCTTCTCCAAACTGCTGTGTAAGAAAAGGCACAACATCTTCCTTTACTCTTCTGACAGGCGCAGGTGACGGGTGTGTGTGTAGTAAAACTGATGTTTCATGACTGCCTAGTTTGAATAAGATAGTGAGAATGTTTCCTGGCAATCTAAAGCTATGCACAAGTGAGGAAAGACTCTACGTCTCTTCTAAATTCTATGCATGTGCTGGAGGGCTTAGAAGGAAGGTGAACTCTCACTTGCTCAGCAGTTTGAAGGTCATAAATAAACTGTGAGAACAATATATTTCTACGTGGGCCAAATTTAAGATCCCAATTGGATAGCTGGGCAGCTGGACATGTCAGTGAAATCCTGAATATTCAAATATTGTTATCTGCTTTGTGCTGTGATTATGAGATGTACTAAAGTGTGAAAGAAGTAATCAAGAAACACAGTGAACACACACACACAAAACAGAGAGGCAAGTTCTCAGAAAATTCTTGTAATAAGGAATGTTCTTGGGAAGGTATGAATGCCAGGTGATTACTCTTACTTACATATCTTTCCCAGTCAATCTCTGAATAAAACCCATTTGGAGCACCATTGGTTCTCTTCTGTAATACACAGTTAAAAATGATAAGTTTTATATTAAAAAGGGGAGAACAGCAACATGCACTAGTTTCTTAGACGAGATGACAAAGTCATGAGTTTTCAATTTGGGATGGTCACTTAACTAAAGTGGGCTCTGGCTCCCTACTAATCAGTCTCTAGAAAGAGAATGCCAGCCTCTCAATCTTCTTTGAGAAAGTAATTTCCAGTGTTTGAACTCTTGAATTTTTCAAACCTGATAAGCCAGGAGCAGGAATTGCAAGGAAACACCATGCTGCAAGATATTACGGCTTATGGGCAAGACAAATGAGGATAGAGCTACAACTTGGTGGTAGAGCATGTGATTTGCATGCAGAAGGTCTCAGGTTCAACCTCTGGCATTGGTTAAGTAGCAAGACCTGAGAACCTGGACAGCAGCTACTAGTCAGATTATACAATGCTGGATGCGCTCTACGTGGGGCTACCTTTGAAGGTGACCCGGAAACTACAACTAATCCAAAATGCAGCAGCTAGACTGGTGACTGGGAGCGGCCGCCGAGACCATATAACACCGGTCCTGAAAGACCTACATTGGCTCCCAGTACGTTTCCGAGCACAATTCAAAGTGTTGGTGCTGACCTTTAAAGCCCTAAATGGCCTCGGTCCAGTATATCTGAAGGAGCGTCTCCTCCCCCATCGTTCTGCCCGGACACTGAGGTCCAGCTCCGAGGGCCTTCTGGCGGTTCCCTCACTGCGAGAGGCCAAGTTACAGGGAACAAGGCAGAGGGCCTTCTTGGTAGTGGCGCCCGCCCTGTGGAATGCCCTCCCATCAGATGTCAAAGCAATAAACATCTACCTGACATTCAGAAGACATCTGAAGGCAGCCCTGTTCAGGGAAGTTTTTAATATGTGACATTTTAGTGTATCTTTCATCTTTGTTGGAAGCCGCCCAGAGTGGCTGGGGAAACCCAGCCAGATGGGCGGGGTACAAATAATAAATTATTATTATTATTATTATTATTATTATTATTATTATTATTATTAAATGGAAATTAATAATATGATCTGGTATATGGGAGCCCCCTATGTTACATTTGAACGGAAGTGATGAGTTAATTAAGCTCTCCTAACTTTAAATAAGTATTAATTTAATATGCTGTACTTCATTTCTGAAGCCTTCGAAACCAAAGCGGTCAGGTGATCAAATAGTGGGCCAGATTCAACTAATGAGTCCTGCTAGTGGAAATGAGCAGAAGGTCTTCCATGATCCCACTCCTCCCTCTCCGTGCAATCCCAAATTGGGGGGGGGCATCAGGGAACCCCTCAAAACAGTGTACAGGGGTGTGGGGACAGAAGAGGGTGATTGTTCTGTCTGGCAAGCTGAAATGCTTGTAGTGATGGAATGATCTCCTTAGAGCAATGCTGAATTCTTCCCATAGTCTTGAGCCATTTACAAAACCTGGAGAAGTATACAATACATAGCAGACTAATGAGGAGGAGGAAAGCCACAAAATAATCATATAGCTGTTCAGATATCAATCAAATATTTCATTTCAACCAGCTGTTACCTTCAACATTCAAGGAATGTCCTATAAAATATTCCATTTTTGCATGAAATGTGTGAAATTATCTATGAAATTATCTACTTCCTAATGCATATTATGAATGCAGTCCTGTATTATTTATCTTATGAATGTAGTTTTCAAGGTGAGCCTGGCACACGAGGTAATCCATTTCTGTTTCTAGTTACCTGTATCCATCACAAATGATCCAAATGCTACTGAATATTAGGAAACCATACTGAGTACCTAAACATAATTAGACATCTATGGACACACAGAAACACATCAGAATCACAGGGGCAAAAACATATGTGGTTGGGCATCCTATGCAGAGCACCTGGAGTAAAAAAATACATGGAAGTAAGTGATGCATAAACAATGCCAAACATACATTTGTACATGCAAACTTTTTTTTGGCCAGGCTTACACATTGTTCCAACCAACCCCCGGGAAGCTTTAAACCAATATTCATGTCCTTACCGAAACTGATTTTCCTCCTTCCTGTGCACACTCTGCTTTGTTATTGGAGGGTGGATCATGAGGATGAGGGCTGGGTGGCTGGAATGGATTTTGTTTTTTTATAGAAAAAGGGTTAAAGTATTGGGTGGTTCGGTTTTTTTTAAACACATGAATCTACATGGAGTAAGCAAGCTCAGAATGCACTTTTCAAAGGCATTACTTGCCAAATGTAAATGCTGCTGTCAGCAGACTATTTTGGAACGTATGATAGGGCTCTATTCAGCAGAAACTGGTTCTCTTATAACTGAGTGGCATGGACAATTATCTCCAATGCTAAATGTTTCCCCCTTATTTCCTTTGAGTAAGATGTTTACAAGACATAACGTTTTCATGCATTTCAGAACTATGTCCTCATACAATTCTGCAGAACATGCTTTATTTAATGTAGCAGCCATTGCAGTGGGCCTTTAGAGTCTTGTAATATAACTCAACATTTCTTTTGTAACTGAACACATACCTACAAGAAGTGACTCAGTGAATGTTTTCATCCTGGTTTTGTGCAAGAAAAAGGTTAGCAACATTTTGCTATTAAGTAAGTCTTGAAGAGTTCTAGGGAATATGATCCTTCTCTAAGTGCCAGCTCTTTTGCTATTGATCATCACCTACAGTCTTTTATGACCTCTAGTCTACAAAGTAAATAAAAAACAGGCCAATAACATGAACAGTTTTCAAGCATACTTTAAAATTCTGGTCATTTAGCTTCTTCTTCTTTATTAATCTGATTAAAAATTGCAAGCACATAATTCCAAGTCAGCATAAAAATAAGGCTACATTAAATATAGCAGAATAAATTATTCAGGTTCATGTTTCACAAAGTAAGCACCTTCTCTTAATCTTAACGTGAGAAGGGATTGTGTACAATTTTAAAGAGAATGCAATTTTTTTGTACTAAATGAGAAATGAAGTTAGCATCGTTCTCATAGCCTCCGAAAAGCAAAATGCCACATGAGGAACATCATCAACAAACGTAGAAGTGAAGGCCTTAAATGAAACATCTTGGGAAAGCACTAGTGTGTCACAATGAACACACCGAGATGGTGACGGTGCATGAACCAGCATGTCATTCGTGGTCAACACCAAGAAAAAAAAGTTGCTCAGCAGCTCATTGCTTCTCAGCTTGCCTCACAGAGGATGAGAGTTACTAGGAGACCCCAGCATCCCTCAGAGAGCTACAGTCCCAGAGTTCTATGGGAAGAGGGATTGTTAAGCCACTTCACAGGCAGGATTCAAGTAACTAGTCCTGCTAATGGAAGCCCACACAAGGACTTCCACTAGTGCAATGGGGATTTCCCCCTCTTCGCCTCCTGTGTGTTTCCAAACAGACTCAGGTGTGTGTGTCAGGAGAACCCCTAGAATAGCATACAGAGCTAGGGAGAGGGGGGTTGTGCTATCTGGCAAGCTGGAATGATAGCCATAGCACTACACTGGATTCCTCCCTGGGAACTGTAGTTCTGTGAGTGGAATAGGATTCTACTAACAACTCAGCACCCTTTCCAAACCACAGTTCACAGGATTCTTGACCGTTTAAAGTGGTATGATACTGCTTTAAATGTATAGTGTAAATGTGGCCCATATCTGAAAAAAAGAAAAAAGAAAAAGAAGCCAGTCCTCCTCTGCCTTCTGTTCATCACTTTGGTGTTAAATTTAACTGGGTGGTGGTGAACAAGTGAGGAGATTGTTTCTCACACCAGGTTTCTGTGTTTCCTTCCTCCCTTTTGAGACCAAGTATTTCCCTCCATATCATATCATCCATCTTCCAGTCCCACATTGGTGATCTGTTGGGGACAGGAATGAAGGAGAAAGACTGCTGAATGTGTGCAGGCTGTTTCTATGAGCTGGAACCCGGCGTGCTCAGGAATTCCAGCTCATGGGGGCATTAGGAAGACTTCTCCCCTTCAGAATTCCCTCAAACACGTTGAAGGTGTTGGGGAGGACCAGCATGAGACAAGACAACCGGGGGGGGGGCATGTGGGGACTCTCTACATGATCCCGGGTACACGAAGTGCCTGAAGGGGCAGTGCACCAGTTACTTCTTTAAGCGTGTAACACAGATGGGGACTGCAGGTTGAATCAACGTGCAAGTTGGGAAAGTGAACAGCGTTGTTTTTCTTCTGCTGAACAGAGCCTTGGCTGAACCATTAAAAACAGTATAGAGTTCCAAATGTGGTCTGCTTTTTGAATCTTTAAGCTAAAAGCGCTTGACAAAACACAATGGGGATGCAGAAGGATGTGTGGATGCAGGCTTTTTTCAATCTACAGCTGTGACCCTAAGCACATCTACTTGGACGTTCAGTTCTTCTGAAATCATTAATATTTACTTGCAAGTAAATATGTTTAGGATTAAGGATCTTGGGTCAGAAGTTTAAATAGACAGAAGTTGAAAGAAAGAAAAAATTATTAGGGCCTTTCCAGAAGACAAAGCCCCACCAACCCCTTGAAGTTATTTATCAAGATACGATTGGGCTAGCCTCTATCCAGCACCACTAGTATGATATTTCACCCCATTTAAAGTTGTATAGTTCTCTCGCCCCCATTCTTTCCCCCCTATACATTTCTGCTGTACAGGGGACAGATGCTCAGCCCTTAAAAAATAAAAATAAAAACCTACAGGAGATGTGCACTCCTGTATTGGAGAAGGAATGGCATAGCCTTCTAAGAACTAAATAAATGGAAAAGGGGATTTGCAATAGAGCATTGCTGCAGGAGGAAGAAAAGAAAAAGCAGCCTTGGTTTGTTTTGCCACTGTTTGTGAAGATAAATGCTCCAACACCAGAAATATGAAGAAACATGATCACAGGCAGGGAAGTTAGCACTCATCACTAATGGCTCTATCTGTGGTCGTGGCACTCATGCAATGCATCCTTGCAAAGCACTCGCGAAATAGCAAGGGACATGCTAAGTAGGGAAGAACCCAATTTCCCCACTGACATAGTACATGCTTGGACAATGCGATATTCCAGACACAGATGCATTTTCTTTAAGGAAGACATCTGAATCAAACCAATGAAACAGCAGCTCATTTATTGCGCAAAATAATGATCATCTGGAAAGGCCCTTACTACTCCAATTCCTTTAATTTTAGGAGAGAAATGACATTGTTTATGGCTGGTAGTGTTTCCATTCCACTGCTGAAAATCTGGTGAAGACTAACAAATGCTCCAATTTTCCTTAGAGTCTTCACAAGATAAATTTAAATGGGAGTTTTAAAGTCAGGAATCAATAAAAAGTCAAGTAAAATCCATATCTGAGCCCAACATTCTTCATTGCAAACTTAAAGCCTAATAGCTGATGTGGTACATTTCCTTCTAAAGTCCAGTTCTAGCAGAGACAGAAAACCTAAAACCATAAATAAAAGCAACAGTAACTCAACAGCAACCCTTCTCCTATTTCTATTCTCTACAGGAAGGCTTCCTGAATTGTTATTTTTAACCAATTTAAAATATTTGCAGGTATTAAATGTTTCTTCATCTTTCATGTAATTGTTTGTTTTATTCATTGTATTTATGACTATTATTAGAAAATTTATCTCACTTGATAATCCTTTGACCAAAAAAGTTTTGAGAGAAGGGCCTTAGACACTGGATATAAGCTAATGCACATCAGACAGTGTATCAACATTGATCATTTTAATATTATTAACTATATTAAAATAGAAATAGGGCAAAGGGTTCAAAATTGCTTATGACGATTCACAGGATGGGGGAAGCATTTTCCATTAGACACATCTAATTTAAAGTTAAGACTAATTCAATATATAAATTCCTTTAAATACTTACAGTTCCATCCCTGTCTGGGGATCCTCTGTAAGAAAGCAAAAATATGTACCATGACTACAAAACATCAAACCTCCTGCATTAAATTTTTCGAAATACTTTCTCCTCATTATTTTTAAAGGTTGGAGTTCTGCACTGCAAAACAATCAGCCAATATTGACTCTTTCACACATGAATCATATAAAAGGGGCATAGAAAGGGGCTGCAGGGCCATGTCACTATCCTCCACCTCGACACTATGCTGCTCTTCAAGCCTTCTGTGCCTCGGTCCCTCTAGACATCTTCATGCACAAACCTCCCACGTGTTCCGAAACCCTACGTGACTGGGGTCCCATAACATATGGAAAGTTTTTGCACATAAGGTCTCTCCTGAATATGTCCACACCTAACATACAGAAATGGGGGACGCGGGTGGCGCTGTGGGTAAAAGCCTCAGCGCCTAGGGTTGCCGATCGAAAGGTCGGCGGTTCGAATCCCCGCGGCAGGGTGTGCTCCCGTTGTTCGGTCCCAGCGCCTGCCAACCTAGCAGTTCGAAAGCACCCCCGGGTGCAAGTAGATAAATAGGGACCGCTTACTAGCGGGAAGGTAAACGGCGTTTCTGTGTGCGGCTCTGGCTTGCCAGAGCAGCGATGTCACGCTGGCCACGTGACCCGGAAGTGTCTCTGGACAGCGCTGGCCCCCGGCCTCTTGAGTGAGATGGTTGCACAACCCCAGAGTCTGTCAAGACTGGCCTGTACGGGCAGGGGTACCTTTACCTTTACCTTAACATACAGAAAGGGCGAAGGAGCTGCATCACCTGAGGGTTGGGACAGTGAGGCAGCGCCACTGCTCCATTCATCCTATCATGCTCGGTTATGCAATTCACACATAAAGGGGACTTGAGTTGAGACACAATGCGGGACTGTTTTTTAATCAAATCGACATCGATTAGTTGACTTTGAACAGAAGAAGAGGCAGCCAATGAGGCAAATTATCACCACAGCTATGTCTACCTGCTGCCTCACCAGCAGTTCTAGGCCCTTTCTTCCCCTCACAGAGATCACCTCAAGAAACTGCCCTGTGATGAATAATAATAATAATAATAATAATAATAATTTATTTATACCCCGCCCATCTGGCTGGGTTTCCTGTGAGGAAAGAAGTAAAGAAGTATCAGTTAATGAAGCAAACTGCTATTATATAGTCACTTTTCTTGAACAGCTCACTTAAAGACCACATGCATAATTTTTACTTTTTAAAAGTTTTATCACTGGTTTTAATTTATCTTTGGAAGCCTGGTCGACTGAAGAGTAGAGTAAAAATACTTTAATAAATAATGAATCTTCTGTCACTGAACATGGAACCCTGCCCTTGTCAGCTCCACTTCTGACCTTCAGAGTTCCTGTTCTGGGGTGGATTATGAGCATGTTCTGCTGAATGTGTTTATAACCTCCCTTCTGATCTTCGCAATAAACTTACAAAAGTCAGAAATGGAGGAGCCAGGGTCAGGTATATAAGGCGTAGGGGCTGGTATAAGCAACAACAAATCCTCTCCACATACTCTTAAGATGCAACCCAAAGAATGCTTCTCCCTTTTCCTCAAATTTCTATCTATGAAATAAATAACAGCTTGCCGGCAGAAGGCTATTTGTCAGGCTGAACACAATGAAGATTGTGTGACATATATGAAGAGTAGTAGTACCGGAATAGAGCTGACAACACAAGACCCCTACAGTTTCTTAACAACAGAGGTTTAGAAAAGGCTCATTTCACTTCTGTAAGTCTGCATAGTTGGAGATCCATATTGCAACATAAAGAAAAACCCAGAATGCCTGAACAGGAAAGCAGCACAAGGGTCTTCAGCAGTTAATGTCTCTGCTAACTTACGTGTTTCAAAATTGTATTTTCAACCAGCCCATTATAATTACACACTTCCACTTTATGATACTATAAAGCTATACCATTAGTGCTCCCAGAGTGCCCATAAAAAGGGAAACTTAAATTATTAAAGATTATGTCGGGCATTCAGCTTGATGCAATGTAGAAGGTTAGTTGTTATCTCAACAATTTCCTCTAGAGAAAAATAGAAAAATATTTAAAACAGTTTTTGTTGTCTCTATGCCATTGTTGCAAGCTATCAACACTAAGTTTGCAGGGGGGGTGGCGGTTCTTAAGTATGAGCTGGTATGAGCTTTGTTGTTAGACAGACACATTAGTGAATAATAATTCAAAACACACAATTCTGCCTGCTCCCTTCTTGATGTTCTTTGTTCAGTTGGTCCTGCTCCCCATTCACCTAATGTTTCATATGAACAACAAACATTCCACTTATAGTGGAAATATAAATTATTCTCTCTTATGATTTAGGGAGAGTCGCTCAAGTTAACCCTGCTTAGAAGAACACAAATCCAAACATTTAATTTTCAAAATGTAATAAAAAAATAATCAATTTGCCTTGTATTTTTCGCAATGATCGCTATTACATGGCAGCAAACAATAATTGTTACTGCATAGACATACAATGGTGGAGTTGAACTTATAAAGTGATATCCAATGTTCATAATTCTCAGGCTTAGGCCCACTGAAAATCAATGCACAAGTCTCTTAGGCCTGTTGGTTTTCAGTGGGTCTAGTTTGAGAATGACGAACACTGGGTATCATCCATGCTTGCAAAGAGTTTGTTGTGCACACGCATTACATTTTTTAGGTAAATAAGGCATATGTTTAATCAGAGAAGTGCCAGAACTCAAACCTGCTGAGAAAGTCAAAGATTCTAATCTCAGATGGGACAAAGGCTAGTTTTAGTTAGTGGTGAGGAATCTGTCCCTTGTTGAGGAGAACCATTATCCTTATTTTATCACATGCTCCAGAAATGGAGCTGTAGCACTGATCAACTTCAGGCACTGAAGGTGGATTCTCTGTCAGCTTAAATGAATCTACTGTATAGTTGCAGCAACCTCCTTTACCTGTTGCTAAGCAACCCATTCACAGGCTAGGGCTGCAGTAGAGGCACACACCTTTAAAGATGAGGAAATAACTGTTTCTCCCTACACTTGGAGCAGATTGTAAATATGTTATCGGGAACTAACGTTGTTGTTCACTTTCACCCAGGTCACCAAAAGAATTTGGCAAAAACAAATCCCCAAACCACCCAAGAAACTGACAAATAGACCTGCAATAATCACAGCAATAACTGACCTACAATAATCACAAATTGACCTGCAATAATCACAGGGACAAAAACAGTATGACCACTCTCTCTCTCTCTCTCTCTCTCTCTCTCTCTCTCTCTCCCTCCCACCCTCATCATGGGCTGGCTGAGTCAGAACAATACAGATGGATGGTTTGCCAAGGAACCAGGAAAGGCTCAAGTGGGATAGGGAATTCAACCTGCTCTCTTGCCTCACCCATTTCCACAACAAGATCCACAAGCCATGCTTCCCTCTCCATAGCCATCAGAGCCTTTCTCTGAAACTTTCACGGTGCCTATTGCTCTACCTAAACTGGTGATTTCAGACATGAGGAGTACCCTTGCCTCTGCCAGCCCCACCCAGCTCTCAGGGTGCGGGGAGGCAAAGACACCTCCCCTGTCCTCCAGGAGGAGCTAAAGGAGTAGGAACCAATTATTCTGCCTACTGGGTGTAGTGAGAGATTGATTGCTGAAGAGCAGAATTTTTTGCTGCACTAAGTTGAGCATGTCCCAATCCTATATAAAAGATAGCAAGGGGGTGTGTTAGTGTCAGATCAACTGTCCAAACCTTTTGTGTAACTGTACCTAGGAATAATCGTGTGTATTGCCTATTATGGCTTAAGCTGAAGATTTGCATATGTATACAGCAATCTAAACATTAAAGCTTTTGGAAAGAATCCTCTTTCCAGTTCTTGAGCAACTGGGAGCCAGAACACACCCTTTCCACTCTGTTTTCAGGGGGGGGGGAATAGTTCAATTTGTACCTCCCGCCCCCTAAACGTGCTATAGAAATAGAGGGCAGGAAAACACTTGAAATAGTTCAAACCCACCCCCAATCATCCAGAAAGGTTAAGCATCGCATGTTACAAAACAGCTTAACATCAAAAGCTATTCACCAATCCCATTATGTTCTAAACCTCAGCTGGTGAACAATCACCATGACACTGAAGTATAGCTGAAAAGCCAGGACAATTCTGCATAGACAAAAAGTGTCAGAATGTTTTCTCTTTCTAAGAGATGTCCTTTGCCTACTGTCAAGGCTCATGTTTAGATATACTATGCAATTAGAACAAGAAAGTTTCAGCCTACTCCTAGGCTTTCAGAGAACTATGTTTCTGAGGAATGAAGCATAGCCACCAAGACTTTTTTAAAGGGGCAAAATACAGACCACCTATAAAATATCCATGACTTGAAACACACAAAATTGTCTGTCATCCTCACAATATCAGACAGCTGTCTCACTCATGCAGGTGTAAGGTTGCTATGCATTTTAAAGTATGCATTACTGGATACTGCTTTGCTGGTTTTCCATTGTGCATGCCAAAATGCAGATTTCATGAGTTAATGGTGTAATCTTGTTAACCATTCAGCATTAGCCCCCTTGCTCTTCCACTCTATAAACCTAAAGACCACCTGAGCCTTTTTATTCCAGTCCAATCACTGAGATCTTCAAGAGGATCACTGTTAGTTGTCCCTCATGCTGCACAGTCCCAATTGGCTTCAACTAGGTCAGGCATTTAGAATCACCACAGCCATGCTGTGAAACACTCCCCCAGCTGAGATTCAGCAGGTTTCCTTGGTTTTGACTTCCATGCATCTCTTGAATATTTTTTGTGCTGACAGGCCTTTGCAGTTGTTTAATTTTTGATGAGTCAGTCACCTGAACTAATTATCCTTATTTTATTATTTAACTTTAAATGATGTTTTCTAGTGTACACTGCATTGATATATTTTATGATATGGTGGTATAGAAATTCTTCTATAAATTAATATAAATTAATACTTACACAGAATTCATATTTTATTTTTAATTTTACATGCTGTGCTATACTCCATAGTCTATTTCGCCTTGATATATTTCATATGGCAATACAGAAATACCAGTACTTCTTTAAACATAAATAATACTTACGTGGAATCAGTGTCCTTTTCTTTCTTCCGTATTCCAAAGGCCTTCCTTGTACGTTTTTTCAATCCTGTGGAGACAAAAGGAAAATATAAATTGAACAAATTAGGTAGCTTTAAATTTGTTATAAGCCTGCCTGAGTTAGTTAGGCTGGAAGATTTAACAGAAACTTTAAAAATAATTTTTAAAAATATTATGGCATAATGAATAAAATGCTATTTACGGTTCTGTAAATTACAAAGTTGCAGTTAGAAAAAACACATAAAAGCCTATTTCTTTCCAATCCTAAATCAGTGCAACATACTTTCAAGTAACCTAAGTTAAGGCAATATTACAAGTGACACAGTAATTGATAGAAGAAAATAAATGCCAGATATTTCAAGGCATGAGAAATGCATATTTTTGCCATGTTTCGTAAGCTGTTTAGGGAACATGTGGCATGTTCCAGTTGTGTTTATGTAGAACAAGGGTGGGGAATCTTTTTGGCTCCACACTGCATGGGCTAACTTTGACAGGTGAGCAGGGAAATCACTTGAGAACTACATATCTTTATGACATACACTATGTATTGCCTACCTGTGAAAACACATTGCATAGTGGTTCCCAAATGCTCCACAGCTAGCTGGCTGTTGGGCACTTGGAAACCTCCTGTGGTCAAAGTGGGCAGGGTTGACTTCTCCATGCATCAGCTGTTGTACATGGAGGTCACTCCTGCTGTCTGCAGGTGTTGATTGTGTGAATGCAGGGAACTAGCACACACAGCCAAACCTGGTGGGATTAAAAGCACCACCTATTAGCTGATGAGCAGGTGGCTCAAGCCTGCTTTCTGCAGGGATCTGTTTGCCCCACCCATCACAGCTGACATCACCCACTCATTGGAGTGACATCACCTAACACCTGTGTGTGGTTTCAGGGAAACGATGCATCAGCTGGTGGGCCTGAAGTTCCTACCCCTGATTTAGAAACATACCCCCCCCCAAAGCATAAAACCAAGAGCGTTTTTGGACCATTGACATTCTTTGTAACCATTGGCTGCCTATACAGCAACATCCAATCGTTTTCGTCTGCTGATATGAAAGTCCATTAAATGGGCTGTATGCCCCAGTCGCAGCAATACACAGCTCAGTCTCTGAAGAAGCTACATTATTTTCTTCCACAATTACAATTATGTTCTAATAACATAATTTCTCTAGCAGAAATAATTGCATTTTTTCAGCGCATTTCACCTGTGGTCCTCCAGTTGTTGGATTACAACTGCATACCCTCCAACATTTCTCCAATGAAAATAGAGACATTCCATTCCACAATGATAATCTTACCACTTATACCCCACAAATCTTACTGGGTTGCCCCAGCCACTCTGGGCAGCTTCCAATATATATAATAACATAATTAGACATTAAACATTAAAAAAACCCTTCCCTATACAGGATTGCCTTCAGATGACTCAGGAGTCAGATAACTCCATACCCTCTAATATTTCTCCAATGAAAATAGAGACATCCTAAGGATAAGTGGGACATTGTGGGATCAAATCAGAACTCAGGGACGTCCCTGGAAAAGAGGAACACTTGGAGGGTCTGCAACTGTTCTCTATACTTTAATAAAGCAATAATATCCTACAGGTCTGCGATACTGGGGGGCGGGGAATAGCACTCTGAAACTAAAGTGGTTTGTAGCTGCTCTTATCCAGTCCCTGCTTCATTCAATACTTCCTCTTCACTAGCGTTTAGGCCTGCCTCCTATTCCATAAAATATTCCTGTGCTGCAAATATCTAGACCACTAGTCTATCCTTAGATATGAGAGAGAAATGTCCACCAAGGAAACTCTTAAGCATTTCTATGTGAGCATTATATAAGTCAGAATGGAATGGCTACTTTATACCTCCAAACTCGTTGCTACAGTGATACCTGCTCATTTAAGCTCCAGAGGCCAAGCTAATAATCACCTTGCTGCAAAAACACTCCCACATTTCCTGCTAGTATCTTTAGAGAGAGTAGAGCCTGTGAAACTCTGTCATGTTGCTGGGGAAAAGCGTGTCATCAGCACAAGTGATTCTGGAGGATTGAGAGGTGAGGGAGAGCAAAGTAATCTGATGTCATAAGCACTGCCTATAAAAAGGGTGCTTAGTCATGACTATTGGGGGGAAAAAATACATTGAGCAGTCATCCTCATCCGACGATGAGCTATTTCATATATTACAAATCCAGGTTTGCCATAGGCAGCAACAGCCTATTCTGGCTTTCAGATGGGGGAATAAAACATTCCATATGTATATCTAAAAATATAATACATAGTGTTGTGAGTTGGAGGGGAAGGGTTAGGGCTGTATGTCTGAGTCCCTTCTAATTCCTCAATCCAGCAAGGGTTACAATCTAATGGAGGACTCCATTGTTGAATTAGCCAAGCCAGCTTCTTGGTAACTGACCTTTAGTATAAGTATGCGTCATTAGTAAGTGGGGGGGAGGCAATGGGGGGGGGCTTCCTCTGCTGGCTGGTAGTGAGAAGAACAAAGTCCAGGGCAGATGAGAGAGAGAGCTGGGTTAGAAGCAGGCAGAAGCCTGAGAATGGGAGACATGCTTGATTTCTGCTTGAATCCAAGGCTGTGACTATGGGAGAAGCAAGACCTTCTGGGGTGCTAATGCTATGAGCTCCCCCATCGTAGGCTCAGGTTGCATATATATGTGAATAAACCATTTATCCCAAAGACACTACAGTCTCTGCTGTCCCTCATTCGGATGAAACTGGACCCTGGGTAAGTGCCTGGAATCTTGCACTGCTCAGAGATAGGGATGGCATGCAACAATATGAAATAAAATATTATATTTAATGTAAGGGCACCAGCTTGGGGAAGGCTGGCATAGAATGACCAACCAAACCATTTACAAAAAGGAAACCACAGATAAAGCTTTAGCCTAACCCTTATGTAAGGATTTTTATATAAAAAATACAAACACATCAATCCAGTTCTGTATAAGGATATCAGGACAAAAATTAAAATGCAACATCCAAAGAAAACATCAGCAAACATGTTGAAGGAAAAAAAGATAAAAACAAACAGGAATGTTTTAGTCTGGTAACTAAAAACAAACCATGTTGGTAAACCTCATCAGGGTAGGTATTTCATAGTTGGGGAACCACATGAAACTACCCAAACTGGCCATGTTATCAGAACACATCCATCAACATTTGACTCAGAAGAAATGAGCCCACCTGTTTATTTGAGGTAAGATAATGTGCAGCTAAGTTATAAGGTAATGAACAGTGAAGTTTTTTTATGCCCAGGTGGCATATCCCTAAACTCAGACATCATTTCATATGCAAATGCCATGAAAATGTATTTTTGTCTTGTTTTTTCACATTTCATATTATCATATTATCAAAATACCCCACACCATATTCACTTGCCCCACTTCTAAAGGTCTGAAGATACATGTCTATGTGATATACGTACTCTTTAAAGAACTGCCAGTCCAAGAACTGCTTAGTCTTTGCAGATATTTGGCATGCCAAAGAAGGGTCCCTTGTAGCACTCCAGATGTTGTTGGACTGCAACTCTGATCATTAGGGAAGGAACAGTAACATCCCATGTGGTAGGGTACAGCCACCACCCTCCCACCGCTGCATTTTATCTGAAGAACTGAAACTGGATATCAGGGCCAGGGAACAATGTTTAAAGGGCATTGGTCAGAGCACTCTGATTTTCAACTGTTTCCTTTGCTGGTGCTGCTGTTTCAAATTGTATTACACTGTTTTTTCTACTGTTTTTCTACATTGCCTTTATGAACTGCTTTGGATATTTTAACAGAAACATAAAATTAAAATATTTTAAATAAATAACACAACTATATGTGATACAGCAATGCCCGGCTACAAATACCAATTAGGCATCAAGAAACACAAGGAGCTTCAATAAATGGAACTGAAAGAAGCTTTTCCAGAAGAGACATGGTCTTTCCACAATCTGCCTCAGTTACAGCACTGTTTGAAGAACTAAATGAATAGCTAGATAAACTGCCAAATGCAAGTACTATGGTCTCTTTATGTTATTTCTCAAATAAAACTCGATGTTTCCTTTCATAACATACAAGATTGTATAGGTTTGGACCAGCTTCCAAGAAATGATGGCTGGACACTGACTGAGAGAACAGTTTTTCAGTCTAGGACAATTTCATAATTTCCCTATGCAATTTAATCAATTGCCCAAGTAGTTTTCAGAAATGAAAGAGAGACCACGACACTACAGTCGACAAAGCACTTGCTTTGGATGTCCCTGAATGATCTTGGCCAAGCTGGTGTCTCCACACTAGCCTATTGCACTAGTGTGCTCTGGAGATACGGCAGAAAGAACACAAATCTCTTAGCCTAGAAACAGACAATGCTGCAATTCACATTAAAGGTTCAGTCTTGAAGAGGTCAAACTGCACTTTTACCCAACTGCTAATGACAGTACAATTTTCTAAGAGAGGCAAATTGTGTCTGAAAACATTTGCAGCACCACTAATATGCTACAGAGTCTCTGGACTCTATTCTTGCAACTGCATCCAAATACAAAAGACACTTAAGAGGTTGTTCAAGAATATGAATTGACATTTAACTCAAGAGAATAATCACCTTTGGGAATTCAGACACTAAGGTAAGCCAGTGAAGTACATACTAGCAACTGCATGGAAAGCAGTTGCTTCCTTGGATATTAAAATAATTGCAAAAATAATTATATGCAAAAATAATTACAACGTTAGTTCTATACAAACTAAGTCCCATACTCACATAATAAGGATGATAAAAAACCCACTAAGATAATAGTGATTATATGCCATTAACTTTCATTAATATTAAATAAAAGCTTTTGTCTGCTACCAGCAGCCTGTCAGCTCAGTTTCCATTCATCAAGAAGTTCAACTCTATTCCTTTGGGCCTGAATACAGCCAGTGGTTTCCTTTCCAACTGCAGATGTTAATTAACTCAGCATTTCCAAGTCCATTATTTTATCACCTATCACTGCCATGGTAAAGGATCACACTACTCATTTTGCATACATTCTGGCTCTAATTGAATTGTAACTATTT